AAAAGAAGGAAAATCCTTTTTTGTGTCTGCGATTAGTTCTGTTTTTTTTTTATTGTGAGTTTTGTGCTCGGTTTCATGAGAGATTCTCGGATTTTTCGAAATCACAATGTGTGATTGCATCGGGGAAAGCGGCTGTTTGTGCGGGGCCTCTTAATTGCCTCATTTCGGTTCAATTGGGAAGATGCAAGACTGTTCATTGGAGTTCGTAGAAACCGGAGATATTACTGAGACGAGGCACAACTCGTTAGTTGGAGCTACTGGATCTTTTTGTTGAGGGAGGTTTTATTAGTTGCGCCGGAAGGATGAGGATGAAAGAGGAGAGTCGATATGCCGAGCGCAGCGTCGCGTATTTTGGTGAATAGAAAATTTAATATATTCGTAATATATTCGTAATTTTAATGTATTCGTAATATTTAATCTCCCAATTAATTCTGATTGTTCGTTATTAAATTTAAATTGCGTGGCAGAATGCGACGAAATTTTTTCTCGTTGTGAAGCCATTTAAAAAGTGTTTTTAAAGGGGAAATAAATCGGAATTGTCTTGATTTAAAGCCTGAAATGCTTGAGTTGAGAGTTTCGAAAGTCTCAATTTCGAACATTTGAAAATTTCAATTTGAGACTTCCAAGTCTCGAAATAAAGCTTTTTTTATTGGATGTCAGTTGTCTGCGGTTTGAAAGATGTAAAATAACGATAAAATCAGATTGAACGCGGTCACATTTTTTTATTTACTGCTGACATTCATTGTCCGACGCCTCAGGGAATTCGAAAAAGTGTTTCGCTGACATGCGCAGACATTTGCGCGATGGTGTCAAATTACCCGGCGAATTTTTGTTGAAATCTTTTTTTGTATTTAAACCTCGGAACTTTTATTTAAGCCTCATTTCACCCCAGATTGTTAAACATTTTGCAATGATTTTTTAATTTGCTCTTTGAGGGTCTCAATTAATTCTTCATAAACAATTCCATATGAAAAAAATTGAAAAATCCTATTTTCATTATCGATTTGTAAGAGACGAAATTCAATGTTTAATATTTTTAATCCTTCGGGTGAATAAAAGAAAAATCAGTGTAAGCATTCTCTTCTCAAAATTAATGCACAATGTTCTCTGATATTAATTGATGACGAATTAAATATGTGTATCTAAACATCAGAATTCCACTTAAGCTCCATTTTCCCCAGAATTACCAAATATTTTGCAATAATTTTGTTATTTTTACTTTGAAGACCTCAATTTAATTCTTAAGCAATAATTTAATATTTGCAATTCTCTCGCTGCATCAAAAAGACATCGTATCCATGAAGTTTTATACTTAAGCCAGAGGAATTAACACAAACATTCATTTTAAATTAATGCACAATGTTCATTAACATTAATTGATGATTAGCTCGACGACATAATTTTCTGTGTCTTCCGAGTGTTTTTAAATAATTATATCCCTTTAAATATTTGTATTGAAACACCAGAATTCCATTTGAGCCCCATTTTACCCTGAATTCCTACTTGTAATTAATAATTAATTTTTAACGAAATTTATTGCAAGAGAAATACACAAAAAAAATCATTTTCATACAATAGGCCATCGCCCGAGGACCTTCAGTCAAATATTTACATGAATTTTTCGTTCTATTGTGCAATTAATATTTTTAATTCTCTAGCTGCATAAAAAAAATCTCGTAATGAATTTTTAACGAAACTTATTGCAGGAAAAATACACAAAAAAAAATAATTTTCATACAATAGGCCATCGCCCGAAGGCCTTCAGCCAAATATTTACATGAATTTTTCGTTCTATTGTGCAATTAATATTTTTAATTCTCTAGCTGCATAAAAAAAATCTCGTAATGAATTTTTAACGAAACTTATTGCAGGAAAAATACACAAAAAAAAATAATTTTCATACAATAGGCCATCGCCCGAAGGCCTTCAGCCAAATATTTACATGAATTTTTCGTTCTATTGTGCAATTAATATTTTTAATTCTCTAGCTGCATAAAAAAATCTCGTATGCCCAATATTTATTAACTTGCGAACGATCATTAACATTCATCGCAAGTTAATGCAGAATGTTCATTAACATTAATCCGCGATCAAATTGCGCGAAAAAAACACGAAATATACAATCTCCCCCCAGTGTCAACAATCTTGACGTCAAGCGAGTCCCGGTTTTATAATTCAAGCCGCACGTCGAAGCCGATGTATCTTTTATAGGCATCACCCAATTCACAGTAGCCAGTCGGAGCTTCAAACAATGGGTGGAGGGTCCCGCGACGGGCATCTGGGGGGAGGGTCTGTCGGACTTGATGAGTCGATGTGAAAGCAGTCGAGGGCCTCAAGCTGCTGTCACAGGACATTTCCGCGGTTGCGAGCAGAATTTTCTTCATATTCCCAGAAAAAAAATTTTTTTAATTAATTTTTTTGAAATTAAATTAGAGATAATACATTTTTTTTACGTAAAAACAAATCGCGGGATAAATAGGTTTCAAGGAATTTGAGGAATCGCTGGTGTTTTTGAGTTCACCGATGGATTCGGATTAATTCCACGAATGAAACCCGGTTTTATCTCCATTTTCTCTCGCTGAAAACTCAAATGACTCATTGGATCTCTCCTTTGACGAAGAAAGTATTGTGAAAAAAAATCCATGGAACGTGTACTTTCAGTCACATAACTGGAGTGATATCGGCCCTCGAGAATGTCGCCTTTTTTCCCTCCCCCTCACTTGAAAACTGACAACGGTGCTTTTGTTGAAATGCAAAGGCTATCGATATCTCGGGCCCCTGGGCAATGTTGAATGGAGATGAGATACGAATGTCTAGCGGGATAAATGGAGTTACTCACAATCAGAGGGAGAGGGGGATCAGTGAACGCTAGATATTCAACCGAAATACTAATGTGTATTTTTCCGGGAGGTGTGCTGACACCCTGGGGCGCTAGGAATGGGTAAACAAATGGTGGTGATGGGGATGTCTATAACGGGAATGGGGATCTGGTTTTTGGGTGTTGAGCTCAACTCTTTCGTTAAAAAAAATTGGTGAGGCAATTTTTTTGGAAAGAATTCGCAAAAATTTCGGTTTTTAAATCAAGATTTTCTGTAAGTTTTCGGTTTATCGGAAAAATTAACGCGTACTGTCGTGATTGGTTCTATTTTTCGATGATTTTCAGCGGAAATTTGGACATTTAATGATTTAACATGAATTTTTTATGAATATTTCAGTTAAACTGGAAAATTTAGACGAAAATTTTCAATAATTCATGAATGTTATTAATGTTATTATCATTAGTAGTCTATTCTTCTCACAAATTTCCTACTTTTCAAATCCTTTTTTTCGATAATAAATTCCTTTATAAAATGTTGACAAAAGAAAATAAATTAGTAGAATTATTCTTCTTTTGAGAAAATGTTTTTAATTTGACAAAAGTCCTTGTATTATCATCATTTTTATTAGAATATTAATTCAGACATTATGTTTCCATCCTCCACGAACTACACGAGACCCTCCCAACATCATATTTGATTATTCAAATTAGTTTCCCTGCCAGAACCCGTTCCAATTATGAGTTAAATGACCTACGTGTTTACTCTAGAGGGTGTGGCAGGTCCGTCTGGGGATTAAACCCGCATTTTAATCTACCCTTCTCACCGATGAACGGAGTGAACCGTAAAAACCCTAGTCGATCCCCCCAGAGCGCAGAAAAAACTAGTTAATGAGAGTGAAAACATAAACTGATTAAAAGGTTGATTAGCAGGTTGTAAATCAGCCTCTTCAGAGAGTTTATGACTGATGGTTTTTAAGTTCTGCAAAATGCCTAACGTCTCATGGCATGAGAATGTACACTGACGGAAAAAATTAATTTTATGAAGACGATTTTATTTGAACCGACTATCATTTGGTTGTTAATTTTCAAATGAACATGAGTTCATAGTGAATACCAGTGATCTCTTCTTGAGATCCATTTGATTGGGAGAAATCGAACTTCTCTAGAACTGAAGTTCCTTTATTTGTCGCAATAATGAGAGCATTTGATTTATTTCCAGCCAAAAGCTCGCTAACTCCAGGAATTCGTTGGTTTACTCAAAAATAAAAATTATTCTCATGACTAAATACGTTGTTATCTCAATCAACACGATCATACGTTGTTCCAAGAAAATTACAATTGAAGTGAGCATTTCGTATGTCGAATCAGGATGAATATTGTTACGCGGAAAAAGCTTTGAGATTGTAGTAAGATGTCGTTGAGTTGAAAGAAGTTTATATTTCTTGACTAAAAAAATCGCATTAGTTTACAATAACAGAATCACAGATTACGGCAATTCAACACAAACTTGGATATCACAAATTTCGTTCAATGTGATGTACGGAAAGCTCAATTTAAACATCGGCTTCATTCGAGAAAACAACATTCAATTCATTTCTCAATGTAATCACCTCCTGGGTACGAATTTTTTATCAATTCATGAAAGTAGAAAATTTCTCGACAGGAGATTATATTAGGTTAAAAAAAAATAGAACTTTCCCATTTTTGAGGTGAATACATGTGACTTGACGTCGAGGACTGTTTTATTTGATTCAAGTAAATGTATTTCAAGAAGAAATAATNGTTCTCAATGTAATCACCTCCTGGGTACGAATTTTTTATCAATTCATGAAAGTAGAAAATTTCTCGACAGGAGATTATATTAGGTTAAAAAAAAATAGAACTTTCCCATTTTTGAGGTGAATACATGTGACTTGACGTCGAGGACTGTTTTATTTGATTCAAGTAAATGTATTTCAAGAAGAAATAATTGATGTTCACTGTAAGATCTTATTTATTTGAAATTGGTTCAAGTATATATAATACTGTTCTAAGAAGGAAACATCTCAAAACTAAACTGATTAATTGATTATGATCCATTAATCAATCAATCAATTATTATCCATTTCTTTAAATTGACTCATGGGACTTGGACGATTGGGGCCCCCCCTAATGGCCCACCTAATGAACATTATGTTCACAGGTTCGCGAACGCGAACAGGAATCGGCGCACATCAGGAGGCAACAAATGCCAAATTGATGGAGGACAGAGACGATGTGGTTTTCGTTTCGAGTAAAGACAGTGAGGCGTCAACGTTATGGGTCAACTACCTCACAGCTTGCTTTGAGCAGATCAGTAGACAGCAGGGGCGGCCGCCTTTCAAGTCAGTTTCATGTTACAAAACTTCTGGCATTACATGCTCTACCCCATGCGTGTCTTGTTTTTATTATTTTTTAGCACCAAATGGCTTCTGTTGGCATTCATAAACAGGCTATTTCATTCCATTTGATTAATTGATGCATTTCATTTGCTTTTTATTCGATTTTTCTTATTTTTGAAATTCGTGGATTTCATTTTTTACTTTTGATTCATTTATAGCTCAAGTTTCAAACTCTTCGTGCATTTTCGGATTTTACTACTGTGAATAAATCTGTAATTTTCTGGAATTATTGCGAATTTCATTGGACGAGGCTGTGAATATTAATTTTTTTTCCAAAATTGAGGCATTTTTTCATTAAATTACAGGAAATTTTGTATTCCTGTAATAATAATAATAATAATAATAATAATAATAATAATAATAATAATGAAATATAATAATTATAAAACTGAACAATCAATTATGTGATTATAATAATTCATTTTCATTAAAATTAAGTATTAATTAGAAAACTCAAGTTCTCAATGAAATATTTAATATTTTGCATCGAACAAAACTCAATTCTTCAATGAATTATTAAATTACTTCAAGATTTTACTTAAATCTTCAATCAATTACATAAAAGAAACCCAAACTCCCCGAATGAATCATAAATTTACTTGAAAATTTTACTGAAATTTAATTAAAAATCAAAACTCAATCCCGATAATCTGTCCTATGTGCAAATTAATTTGAGAATTTAAATTCTCACCGAAATCTTCAATAGATTACCCAAAAGAACCCTAAAATCCCGAAAAGACTCCTAAATTTACTTCACGCTTTTCCTGAAACCCAATGAAAAATCAAAACTTCTTCAGTAAAAAAGGTAACTACCAATTAACTTCCAAAAATTCCCTGTCTGTCCAGAGTGAGACACGTAACAGTGGAGGACTCAGTGTCAGTGACCCAGACAATGCAAGATCGCGTGGCGAAGTCTCGCCTTCAGATAGTGGTGGTCTGTCCAGTTCTCCTGGACCGAGCGTCGACGAAGCCCGAGCAGGCGTCGGCCCTCGCCCGGCAGTTGTCACCGGAGCGTGTCCTGGCGATGATGCTGGGTGTCCACGACGGGCACCTCGCGGAGAGCCAGAAGACCGCCCTGATCACGTACCCCCAGTGGCGAAAGTTCTTCGTCAAGGACCAGGACGAGACCTTCGTCGGGGAATTCCTCGCGGCTGCGGTCGCCATCCTCGGCGCAAACCCACCCGCCGCTCTGAAGAACGATAAAACCACGTTCTCCGTGCACCCGAAGAAGGTCAAGATGGGGCAGAGTCGGGTCCTCGTTATTATGAACGAGCCTCTCAGGGCGGAAGACACCGTCAGTGTCATCGTCGACAGGTGCGGGGAGGGCATCGACGTGACGCTAGTCAAACGCAGAAATCCTTATACGCTGCAACTTGCGGTGCCTGACAGGTGCCTCGAGGTCTCAATGCTCATCGGCATCAGGGTCATTGTTAATGGGGTTCCCCAGGGCGTCAGGCAGGTCAAGTGCGAAAGCCGGCTGAGGGAACTCGATCAGATACTTCGCGCGCATGACAATCCACTGGAATTCATGTGTCAGGTGAGTTGATTCAATTTTTTTTCACTATCGCTGGTGAAGGGAATCGTGAAAGCGGGCGATTTTACCGGTTTATGCTCTATTAATTCGGGAGGTCGTAATTCAAGTTCTGGCTCGTCGAAATTTCGATGGTTTTCCCATTCTTCCTGAACGACAATTGTCTTTGAGATCATTTTAATTCTGGGGAGAGATTAATTAATTTTTGTATGAAATGTTTTTATTGTTTTATTTTTTTATTATGTTTTTATATTTAGCAATATTGGACATGTGTTGGTTTTTATTTTAATGCGTGATGGAGAATTGATTGGTTTTGAGGGACTGGAGCTCATCATTTTTTTTTACAATTTGTTTAGATTATTTAAATTCTTCGGGAAAGGAATTTTAATTGGTGTTTTGTATGAAATGTTTTTATCGAATGGATTTATGAAACATTAGGATTGAAGAACTCATCAACTTTTTGTTGCTTATTGAAACTAAAAAATACGTGCGGACGATTCAAAAGACTTCAGAGAATTTTTTCATTACTTGTTATTTAGACATTTGGGTTTAATCCGGGAGATCGCGATCAATTGGATAACTGGATGGTCCATGCCTTTCAAAGAAACTTACCGCCACGTTTTGATCTTCTGGCTACACCCACCGGGGCTGCGCCTTTACAGCGAAATACAACGAGTGAGTGATTTTATTTTCATGCTTTTCATTATTTCCCCCTGATACTAATGAATTCACGGAAGAAGGCGCGTTTGATTCTTTTTTCAATTGAAAATACGGAAATTAAAAATTGATATTGCAAAATTCACATTTTTCACTCATTATTTCCCAGATAAATATTAAATATTCTTCATTTAAGAATGTTTTTCTAAAATTGCAGGATAAAAAATCTCAAATATTTCTTTTTGAAATAAAAAAGAATATTCTCAAACCCAAAATTTCCTGAATTTTTCGTTCAACGAAGGAAAAACTCTTAACAATAAAAATAAAAACCCTCGACAGAAATATTTTGTAAATTATTTATTCAAGAGCAAAATATAATTTTTTATCGCCAGGTCCCGAGGAGTACCCGACCCTCCTCCACTTCGCAGCTCGTTTCGGCTTGGAGAAATTAGCGTGGCAATTATTGGAGTGCCCCGGTGGTGAAATTGCTTGCGATCTCAAGAATGTCGCTGAGTTAACCCCGGCCGATACTGCTGAGCAAGCGGGTCACAACAAGCTTGCGCAGCAGCTCCGTGGTTACATGGTAAATGTCAAAAATCCCCGATAACTCTCTTGTCACCAGTAACTAATATGTTTCCCCTTTCTCATCAGCAAATGAATGAATTCACGAACATGTATAGCTACCTCAAGGTCATCAGTGAGAATGCAGGATCAGGAGCAAGTGAGTGCATTGAATAACGCAAAAATAACAAGCTCGTTTTCCCCATCAATTAAAATTAATTATACCACAAATTGAAAATTGAAAAAACACAAAAAGCAAATTTTTATTCAAAATTATTCGAAGAAGAATGAAATAAAAAATCTTGAAATTTCGTAATGAAATGTTTTTTTTATTGTTTATTAACTACGTTTCCCTATAATTCTCGTGATGGATTACTCAAGAGAAGAAATTAAATTCCGAATTAATGACTTTAAAAACAAAAAAAGGAATCTTTATTTTTAAAAAATCAAATTAAAAATTTTGAAATTTCTGAATAAAATGTTCTTTCCATTGTTAATCAACTATATTTCTCATAAATTCTGATCATGAATGAGTGACGAAAACGGATCAAATTTCATTTTAATTATTCACAAAAAAAAATTTTATTCAAAGAAAGCAAAATAAAATGAAAAATTTAGAAATTTTATAACGAAATACATATTACGTTTTTTGTATTGTTTATAAAATACATTTCTTCTTAATTCTCCTCATAACTCAAGAAAATAGATTAAATTCCAAATTAATTCCTCACAAAATTCAAAAAACCCCGTTTTTTCTTCCAATCAAAAATTAAAAAATCTTGAAATTTCATAACGAAATATTCCTTTCCCCGTTTTCAAAATCCAATTCCCAAGAAAGAGCCAAAAAATCCTGTAACATTGAAAAAACCCATCAACCCAAAGCAGCACCTGAACAGTGCGCCCCATTTTCAGACAACGAAAGTCCCTCCCCGCTGACCCACTTCAACTGCCTGGACACAGAAAACGACAAGGAAGATTACTGTCGTCCTCGACCCCTGAGCGAGGCGTATCTGGTGCCCCCAGCTGCCCGCCCTGTGACAACATCCCCCTCGATGAGCCTCACAACGCCCCCTCAATTGCCACCTCCGAATCCGACCTCGCAGAGTGCCAGCGAGATGAATTACTCAATTGTACCACCACCTACACCAGTTCTGGGTGCGCCCCCGATCAATCTCAATCATTCCAATGTGAATGGCTTGAATTTACCCCTTCAAGGATACATGAAAATGTATCCAGCAAGTAAGATTCTATTCAGTTATTAACATTTTATAATTAAGTGGTATTCTTTAATTATTGAATGTTTTCTTAATTTTTTTTTATAATTGTTAATGTGATGATGATGATGATTATTATTACTATTATTATTATTATTATTATTATTATTATTATTATTATTATGCTAATAATTATCATCTGGACATTTATATTTATCAGAAAATAAATTTTTAAAAATAAAGCAAATTCATTATTATGAAAATTAATTCATTTTAATTGAGTTTTTTAATTACGAATTAATTTAAAAACTCAATGAAAATAATTAATTAATTAATCATTGTGAGAATTAATTAATTAAATATTAATTATTATTTATAATAATAATAATAATAATAGGAACGTTAATTAGTCACGTGACGTAATTATCAAATGCACTAAAAATAATTGAATATTTTAAAGGTCCAAAGGTGTCTCCATCATTCCCGGCCCCGGTGACCGCACCTCTCCAGGCCCTGAGGCCCTCCCCCAATCAACAGTCAAAAAGAGACATGAAGGACGACAGCTCCGGCTCCAGAACCGGAAGTTTACAGCGTTCGACATCGAACCAGGGCAACAAGTCCCGAGAGCCCTCGGGTCCCCAGGACGAGCTCCTGGAGATCATCAATGACTTCAAAAACAACGTGTTCACGATTTCTGAGGTCGAGAGGCTCGTGGAGACCTGGAGGAATCGCAATGACGTGCAGCAGAGCTTCAAGGACAAGCAGAGACAGCTGGCGGCGATGAGGGATGAGTACGAGAGGATCCAGAAGAGGCTGAAGGAGGAGATGAAGGCGCCAACGCCCTTTGATAAGATTAAGAAGTTCTTCTCGAAGGGGAAGAAGGAGGCGAAGGAGGGTGCGGGCGCTCAGGATGGGGCGGCTGCCGGTAAGACTGAGAAGAGTTGCGACGGAGGGGAGAGGAGACCCATCAGCAGTTTGAGTCTTCACAGTGTCTCCAGTATGTTCAAGTGGATATTTATTTATTTATTTTTTGCTTGATTCATTTATTTCTTCATTTCTTTATTTCTCTACTTCTCAATTTTTTTATTCCGTTATTTATCCATTTTTAACAGACCCAACAGCATAGAGCCAAATTAAATTAAATACATTCATTCGAAGAAATCAATAAATTAATGAATCATTTTTAATTTATTAATTAAATAAATTAAAGTATTGAAAATTTTATTGCATTTTATTGCATTGTTTTGCTGTTTTTAATTTTATTGTAGTTTATTTTTTATTAAAATATTTTATTTAATAAATTTAAATTTATTAATTATTCATTCGTACATTTGCACACTTAATATTTTCCTTTTTAGTCTTCTTCTTTCATATTATTTAATTTCATTTTTCCTGGAACGGATAAGAAATGGATATGAAATCAATCTGTTAAATAAATCATGTCGAGTGTGATGAATTGTTTAAATTCATTCGGTATATTTCATGTTCATTTTTAAGGCTCTTCATCCTCTGGACGCATGAGTATTATAAGTGGGTGCTCTGGAACGAGTCTAGGGGACAGTGGAACACATTCAGACACTGAGGACCGAAGGGTGAGTGGGATTAAGGGATTTATTTACGTTGAAGAAGAGATTAGTGATCTCTCGAGGCTAAAAAAATTTGTCTGATTTTTTTTATATTTTTAACTTTATCCTCAAGCCCAACTTTATCCCCTGAATTCATTTGAGATTCTGGAAACTACCAATTCCCATTCGTTTTTAGCAGCTTATTAATCGTTTATAATTGTTTAGTTGAGAAATCCGCGGGAAGATAAAGGTGGAATAATGACGTATGAGGTTCCACCAGCGCCGAAACCCTTCACCGGGAGATACTCACCCATGCGATACACCCCATCGCCACGATCATCCGGTTCACACCCTGAAAACGAGAACAGAAAGCCACAGCCGCAGAATGGAAGCTCGAGTGATGAGTATTATATTGCGTTTCCGGTGTCCGGACTTCCTATTCACTGTGAGTTTTCTCCGGGGATTCCCATTTTTACTTATTCATGTGATTCGTATTATATTGACAGTAATCAGAAAATAGTCTATAAAAACACAGTATTGAAGAGAAAACGAGAGAATTGAAGTTTTTTTTTTAAGAATGAAGGGAAAATGTTTTGTTCAAGTGAAAAAACTCAGCAAAAATAGATTTTGTTGTTCTAAAATCGTTTGATATTTATTTTATTGCATTCTTCTTTAGTTTGTTGGAGGAAGAGTAGTTGTGGACCAACAAAGATTAGGCGAAAAGTTTCGTAAGACGAATGATATTTATAAAACGAATAACAAAAACTGCAATTAGTTTTATTTTATTACAATTTTTTATTCTAAAAATTTCATATTCATTTTACATTGACAATTTTTTTCATAAAAACACAGAATTAGCAATAAAACGATGAAATTTAGTTTTTTCTTTTCATTTACTTTTTTTTATTTTTTTCAATAACAGCTTTTTGTTGTTCCCAACAATTGAAAAATGTTTATTTAATCCAAAAGATGAAGCGAAGAGCTAAATTAAATTTTTCTTAAATTTCAATAATCATTTGACAAAAACTTGAATGAGTTTTTTAAAATATGATTACAATTTTCAATCCTAAAAATTCCATATTCATTTTACATTGACAATTATCAGAAAATTGTTCATAAATTTAGTTCTTTTTTCAATAATAGCAACAAACATTCCATTCCAGAGAACAAAAAATCTCGCAACAACAGATTTTGCTGTTCCAAAAAATGAAAAGATGTTCATTTAATTCAATAAAAAAAACACCTTTCCCCTCTTCTTCCACTTGTTGCACGAATAACAATTATGTACCCCCAAAAATTGGGGGAGCCCTTTGAAAAAATGAGTGAGAACTGTCCAAAAAAATGTCCAAAATATCTTTCATTTCATTGCAGTTTTCAATCCTGATGGGACACCGATAGAGCCAAAAACCCCAAGTTCCCCATGCGATCCTCCCCTCTACCAAATTCCGAGCAACATCCCAGAGGAAGACAATCATTCCGATAACCCCGAAAAGACTGAAATAAAAGAAATGAACGCACTTCCTGCCGCTCCTCCACCGCCGCCCCCGTCCCCACCCACCCACCTCTCCCTCGACTACATGAATATTGTACCCGCGAACATACCCTCGAGTGTCCTCCAAACACCCGTCAATGAGAGTCTGCGGGAGAACAGTGAGAGCGTGGAGGGATCCTTGAGCGTAACAAAAGTTTTGAATGAGGAACCGGTCAAGGTTGCCGATGGGGAGACGAAGATTATCAATGAGGGAACGAAGGAAGAGTCCCCAGTGAATCTTACACAATCGGATCACGTCCGGCTGGAGGGTGTGGGGATGGAGGTTGTCGGGGAGTCCAGACTCCCGGAATATATGAATATTTCGCCTGGCGGCGAGCAGGAGCCGAGGGTTATTGGAACTATTCCGAAAAAACCGGCTGCACCTCCTGTGCCTCCAAGAGGTGACGATCGAATTTAACTTTATTACATATATTTTATTTATATAATAATGAAACTTGTATGAAGTTATATTTATATAAAGTTTATTTAATTTTATTATATATATTTTATTTATATAATAAAATTAAATTCGCTATTTTTTCTCCAGTGCAATGATTTTGTTATTTAAACTTTGCAGATCTGAATTTTAATCTCAATATTGAACCGTTAGAAAACATTTTAAAAATCTGAAAAAAATTGAAAGTTTAATTTTGGAAAAAAATTGATAAAATAATTTAAGAATTTCAGTTTTTGATAATCACGAGCATTTTCTATAAATAATTTGCAAACAATAAATTTCCCACTATAAAAATTATCTATTTATAAACAACGAATATTTTAAAAAATAATAATTCCGCGCAAAAGGCATTTTCAGGCACGACAAAATCCATCGTAACTTCATATCAACAAGTTCTTCTCAAACATCGCAATATTTTTTTTCAGCCCAGGCGAGGAAATGAAAACTTGAGGAGTTCCACATCTCCACGAGCAGTAGACTAATAATAAGATTTAAATGTACCAAATATATACCAACGAATAATCCAAATTAATTGTTTTAGTCGTGTTACTGTAAAATGTCTATTTCCAACGAATTAAGTGAATTAAGTGAATTGTTTATACGTCCAATCGAAGTCTATGTAATATTGAATGTATTTGCGAAGACATCTTGTGTTGTCGTGAGAGACTGAGTTCCGTAATCTCCCCGGAATTCTCCGGACATCTGCCCCGTACGTACGAGAATGTCCGGAGTCTACATTCATCCTGAGCATGCTCTTCCAACGGGTATTCTATTTGTACTAATCATGAAATAAGTTGTAACGAATAGATAAATAAATTTTTTATGGATTTACTGATTCCCATCGCCTTTTCCTCTTCCTTCACATCATGCACGAAAATGGAAACACCGTGACTGGGGTTTATTCCGTGATAATAAAGTTATAAATCTGAATTTTATCGGGGGATCGTCGAGTTGGAAAGATTCACTCAATTTATAATTAATTTGATTCGTCGTAATTATTCTCAAGTTAATAACCTTGACGAGGCATCGCGTACGGCGAGGGAATAAATTTATGGAAACCCTTCGCAGAAGAATCTAAATGTGGAAGAAAAACATTTTTGAAGCGGTTAAGTAATTCTCGATTTTTTTTAAGAAAAAAATTTATTTATTTAAGAATTTTTTTGGAATTCTCTTAGAAGTCTCATTGGTTGCATTTTCAGCGGCTCGGGAGGGAATTTCAATGGAATTCCGGTAGAATTTTTGCGAATTCTTTCAGCCGTAACTTCACACAGAAAAAATTTAATGGAAAAATCTAGCGAATTCGATAGAATATAAAATTCTATTGAATTTCCATTGAACGTTTTAAAAAAATTATGTTTTTCACCGATTCTATTGAATAATTCCGCAGGTTTACTGCTTTTTTCTACTCTATTTTTCTTCTATTTTCATTTAAAAATCATACAAAGAAAGAAAATATCTCAGTAGAATAGATTTTTTTCGAAAAATCACATTTTATTGATTTTTTCTATAGAATTTTTCCAATTAGGCATTTCGATAGAAAAAAACGCGCAGATTAACTGCAGAATTTTCCACCATAAAAATCATTTTAGTTTGAATTTGGATATTTAAATGGTGATTAATTTAATAATTTAAAATTGATGAGTGCATACTATCAACTATTGACTTCTTCAAAATTCAACTTAATTTAAAATTTATGATTCTGCCGACGTCTGCTTGCACGTCCTTAAGTGACGACGATTAAGATTTTCGAAAGCCTCAATTTGAAATTTTGAGATCTCAATTTAAGCTTTTAGGGAGTCTCAATCTGGAACATTTCAAAATCTCAATTTAACACTTTCAAAAATCTCCATTCAATAACATAACTCAAAATAAAGCGTGTTTTTTCATGTAAATTATCTGCAATAAATTCACCTCGAACCTGTATTTAATCCCTGGAAATTCAAGAACTCTGTGAGAATTTGAATCATTTCCAGTGAAACATTCAGACAAAAATCTCCAGCACCACCATCATTTTCCATTCCGCGACGTGAATAAAATTCTCCATTCACCGCCGACAATCCTTCGCTATTTCCATATTCAAACGAACAACGCCTCCACCTCCGTGATCCCTCAAAGCTACCGGACTTTGGAATCTATCATTTGCCGTAAATACCAGAGACGTAGCGCTAATCTATTATAAACACGTGTCAACCTTCGCAGAGTGCCGATAAAATTTGGCTAATTAATGTCAATTACTCAGGACTTGCGGTTCGCTCTTTCCGCTTCCAAACGGATATTATTATCAATTCAAAGCTGTGGTGGGGGACACGAGGATATAAGACGAGTGACGACGATTAATCTCACACGTAACACGCGCCGTTTCCGAAGAATTGAAAATACGAAGTCATGACGCGAGCTGTCGAGATAATCGGTCTTCTCGTGATTGTGGGGATCGTGGGGGCCCAGAATCCGAAATTCTACGCGCAGAAACCGGGTTCTTGTCCACCGGAACAGCCCGTTAATATTTGCGGTAGGTCTTGCTATTCTGATGCTCACTGCGAGAAAGAGGGGAAATGTTGTCCCACCACTTGTGGCGGAAGTATCTGCACTGCTCCCGTTACTCAAGGACCCCCTCCAATCGGTAAGAAATTCATTTTTGTCATTTTTTCGGGTCCACCCAAAAAAGTTATTCATTTGCTTCAAATAAAGTTTATTTAAAGAATACGAAATAAAGCTTTTATTCAAATCGAAATTTTTTCTTTATTTTAGTTATTTATTAATTATTTAAGTTCTGTTTATATTAAATACACAAAAAAATGTAAAGAGTGTAAAGTGTTTTTTTTATTATTAATAAATCTTCATTTAATTCCAATAAATGCTTCATTAATAATAAATTAAGGTTTTTCTTACATGAGAATTTTTTTTTTTAATTAAATACATTTTCTCTTTGAACTTAATTTATTATCGCTCCAGGATTGAAATTGACTCGAACAAAAAATTGTTTCCAATTTCTTTCATAAAACACATGAATGTGATTTTGTTAAAAGAATAAAACACTTTATTTGAAATGAATAAAAGGTTTATTCGATTTTAATAAATGATTCATTTGGAATAAATACTTTAGAATTAAATTAAAATTTAATTTGATGTTAATAAATTGCTTATTTGATGTAATTGAAACCTTTCTGTTGAAGCAAGTAAAAAAAAAATTCAAACAAATATTTTTATTTGATTCAAATGAACCATTTCTCTGAGTGCACTTACGCTACTCAAGCCCATTAATGTTAATTCGTAAACATTCGCGAACTATCGGACTGATGGATGTATTAAACATCGACGCATAACGGGAATCAAACGGTTATCAGGCAGTTGCACGCTCCAATAAAAAGAATGAGTTGATAGCAACCGCGGCAGTTGATAACATGGCATAACCCAAACAATAAAGAATTGTGAGAGAAAAATGTTTGTTGATGTTGCACTAGTGGACATTTCGCGTCAGATTACGAGGGAAATTCTTGTAATATTCAGAAACTAATTCACATCTAATAGAGTTCAAGAAATTTAAAAAGTCAATTTTATCAGAGCGCAAGGAGAATTTGACTAAAAAATTCGTCAAATTTTTTACAAAATCAGTGAAAATTTGAATTGTAGGTTTACAGCAAAAACGAATGTCTCAATTTTTTCAGACACTAAGAAACGTCTGAATAAAATGAAAATTTGTCTGAATTTTAAACGAACAGGTCCTCAACATCTTAATTCATGTTTAAAATTTACACGAATTTTCATTTTATTCAGACGTTTTTTATCATCTGAAAAATCTCTACAAAAGCTGTGCAAAACTCAGACTTCTTCTTGAATTTTCAATCCATCTGCGATTGAATTCAACGCGATACTTAATTCTCACAAAAAAGAAAAAAAATCTACAAATAATTTAATCTCAAAATCAGTTGTTAATCTCAAAATTGCAGCGCTAATCATTAATATATAACTTCCTCTCTAATCGCAATAAATTTCTGCAAATTTACACTGTTTACATCGACGATTTGAAAATTCCAGTGAAATCAGGATCATGTCCTGCAAATCCGACGGGTCGTTGGATCTGCACGCCGACCTGCACGACCGACAGCGACTGCCGAGGTGCGAAAAAGTGCTGCAGGAACAGATGCGGAGTCCTCGCATGCCAAAAGCCGGACGTCGAGATTGTGGAAGCCGTTGACGTGCCCAATCAACCTGAGCCGAATAATAGCCCCGCTGACGACAACTCCGTCAATGTGAACCCCAACAACCCATTCTTGTTCAGCAATAACTAATTTTATCTGACGTGTGATTCAGGGCTCAACAGCATTTCTAAAAATACTCATGCGATTGCCATTCACTCATATTTTGTACTTTAATTTTTGTGTTAGTGTTTTTTTATGTGTGGAATAAATGAAAGTTTCGCCGCCATTCGGTTCCTTACTAATGCCGTTCTCCATTTTGAAATCGTTAATAATTAGATTTCGGAATTGAATTGAGAATTATAGTTTGGAACATTTTTTTAAGATTGTTTTTGAATAAATTAATCATGAAAAAATATTAATTGATGATCAATTTAGATATCCGGCATTTATTCAGTCTCGAGGGGTCTCTGGGAAGCTATTAGCAATGGGAGAAATATTTAAAATGATCCGTTTAGAAATGATGGCGATTATTCGGACGAGAAATTATCAATTTTTGCGGTATTTTTGCAAAAATGAACTTTTGACGTTGGAATCATCAACTTTTTGCTTTTGAGCAGCAACTATTCGGCATTCGTGTAGTCCCGCGAGTCTCTAGGAAGCTATTAACAACGGAATGAAGATTTAAAGGTCCGCTTAAAAATTCCGGCGATATTTCGAACGCGAAATTATGAATTTTCGATCACATTTTTGCAAAAACAAACTTCTGCCATTGGAATCGTCGACTTTTTGCTTTGGAATAGCAACAATTCGGCGTTTGTTTGATCCAGTAGGTCTCTAGGAAGCTATCAGCAGTAGAAGAAAGATTAAAATTGGTCCATTTAGAAATAATGACGATTTTTCGAACACGAAATCATCAATTTTTATCCGCATTTTTGCAAAAATGTTTCTGACGTGGAAATGATCTACTTCCCGACATTTCCGAGTGCTTTCTGAGCTACTGCGTACCGGGATTTCCACCAATGACGCTACCCCGTATTTTCTCAAAGCCGGACCACTCTATCGTCCCCAATAAATTGAATTTCGAAGAGAAATCTCCAATATTTTCAAGGAAAAGTCATCCCTCTGTTCCCAGAACCACTGATACATCCTCTTGAATATTTCCTACAAACACAGATGTGATAACCGCTTCAGCCGACCTCCAGAGTAAATCTCCAATCCCGGTCAAGTGCAGCGAATAACGTTACCGGTGATGTTGATTCACAGCCACACACCAACACCCGCGAAAATTCCAATACATGCTTTGCAGCGATTAAGAGATTATCCCCGGTTATTCCCGCGGTGCAGTGTGTTGCGTGTGGTGGCATATCGCATTGTTCCAAGAAGGAAGAAATAGTATTTAATTTTGATCTTAATGCCACAGTAGTGCGTGGCAAGGCTGCGGCCCTGGCCCCTCGTATTTTCCTCGGGTGGGGAACCGGAGAACATTCATATCGTCTGTGGACTATTCCCTATTTAGAGAGAGTCCGCTTCGTGGCAAATACGAGAGGACCTCGGTGGGATCAACATCGCTGCAGGCCATTGCCATGGACGGTAAGACTCTCACTCATAAATAATTTTATGCGCAATTATTTAATTTTCAACGTTCATGAGTTCGCAGGAAAAATTCTGCTGCTTGCTTTGGGATTCGCGATGGCTGTTGGGGTCATCGAGGCTCAATTATCACGTAAGTTCGCAAGTTCGTTTCAACAAGTGGTTGTGAAGGAGAATATTTTGAATTTGGAATAAGTGGCTTTGGGAATTAAAGATATTCTTCGGTAAATGCGACTTATGTTGATAAATGTTTAAATATACTCATTAAAATTTAAGAAGAATGTAGTATTAATAGTTCAAATTTCCGATTGGCGAGGAATTAAATATTTCATAATGTAGAACTGTAAAGTTTCCGTTGAGTTATTGATTAACCAAATAATCAGAAATCTACCTAAATTATCGATTAATAAAATAGTTGAAATTTGAATATTCAAATTGATGATTACTTGAATATTCCAATTTTGAATTATTTTATTAATCAACAATTTAGTTGGGACGGTTGACGATTATTTGGTTAATTGAAAATTCACGGTCCCATATTATCAATTATTTAATTCATCATCAATCAGAAATTTAGGTTTTCAGTTATTTTAATATTTTTAATTTCAATGAGTTTATTTTAACTATTTTCAATCATCAAATTTGTCAATTAAATTGAGAAAAATTTGAAAAAAAAATTATGAATATTCAGCGTTATTCTAACTACGTTTTGCACAGAATTATCTTTTTTTTACACATTCGTTGTTTATAAATAAATAATCAATTCTCCTCCAAAAGTAAAAATTCTAATTTTTACCGATTTAAAAACTGTTTCCTAACGGTTCAATATCGAGATTCAAATTCCGCCCTGCAAAATTTAAATAGTAAAATACAAAAGTAGAAAAGTATTTCACTGGGGAAAAAATAGCCAGAGTACTTGGATATTCTTAAATGTGGTTTAGGGGAAAAAAATGATAAAATTTCAAATTTCTTGGAAAACAAAATAAAATTCCAAATTTTCAAGCAGCATTAAGACAAGAATTTGCCAACACACTTGAATTTCCAATGAAAATATGAATGTTCAGGGCCAAATTACATCCTGCAACCGCTTGATTTAATTCAGAATATTATTGAACTGAAAAAATGTACGAATTAGAATAATATAAAATCATGAATTTAGTTGAATACAACTACAAAATAGAATTACCATAACTTCCTCTATCGGGAAATTAAAAAACAGATCATTTCGTAAAAACCAAGGAATGAGAAACAATTTGTTGTCCTCCAGACAAAGGAGGCAACTGCCCCCTGAGAAATACAGTCTCCAGATGCATGCCCACCTGTGTAAGCGACTACCAGTGCTCGTTCAATCAAAAGTGCTGTCCCAACAAGTGCGGCTCCATGTCCTGTGCCGCGCCGAGTGCCGTGTACACAGGTAGCGACGGCGGCTACAAGGGCTCCGGTCGAGGTAACTTCCTCATACGACGCAAGCTCATTCACTCCACTTTGTCTAACGGGACGTTGTTTTCCAGATACCGGGGTCTACTGCGGAGGCGTCAAGTGCGGTCCCTACGAAAAGTGCGAATTCGATCGGACGACGAAGCGCGAGAGATGCGTTCGCACTTAATCTCGAAGAATTTCTTTCAACTTCATGGTTTCTCATTTTGTCCATCGCAAATCGCGATTTTATGATCTATTCAATGCCGTGAGATGTATTAAGCTTTTTGAGTAATAAAGTTTGGGCGTTTTTCAATATTTTCGACTCCTCCATTACCGTATACCCTTCGGTTTCTTACGGATTTTCCCTTTTCCGCAGCACATTAATTCCTAATGCTTCCTCCGATTTTCGAAAAATTCGAAACCTTCCAGAGGTGTTCCCCCGCGGCCACCCATCCTCCTAGCGACACTCAGCATTAATGTCCACATCAAATTCAATCACAAAATATTGAAATCTCAAGTTGTACATTTTTTTGCACATGACGAGTGAATTTAAATTGCGCACATATTTATTGAAAACGTTCACAAAAAATTGATTGAGTGGCTAAAATGTATGAAGAAAGCTCACACTCAGTGAAAAATACAACAAATTGAAATCGAATGAAACTTAAATGCAAAAAATGCACATTAATTTTTTTTTACTCAAAATAAATTGAATAGATAAATAGATGTCCCTAAAAGTAATCAAGTGTTCCTTGAAATGAATGAATGAATAAATAATGAATGAATGAAAGAAGGCGAATAAAAAATTAACTTCACAAAAAGTCGATAGCTCTCTTTTCAAAAAATTCTCCATTCTTCCCGCTTCAAACTTCGATCTATCTCGATAATCGACTCATCCCCTCCCCGCGGTCGCCATTCCGCCGATGGTGACCATAATAAACCCCCTCGCCTCGCGAAATAATAATGCACCGCTGTCAGTTTCGGAGCGGTTCCACCAAACGTGTAAATAATTAAGAAAATTGAAAGAAAACAGAACAGTCATTATGGTTTGACGTTGAGTGTTACTTGGGGGGTATTGTCATAGCCACCGGCGCTGCAGCGTCCGTCCACGTCGAATGTTTGCGGAGAGCATAGGTTAGGTGATTCAATTGAATCGGAATTGATACAAATTGCAACAATGGCACTGGAATTTATGGTGAATCGGGTGAAGGCCCTCGTGGTTTTGCTCCTGGGGGTCTTCAGACGTGCCTTATGCTGCCTCAGGAGGAGGAGGAGATCCTCGTGTGATTCCATACCACTCTCAGCCGTCGGAGTCGTGCCTAATTCCAACAATAGTCGAGTTGTGAGTGAACCAAAGGGTTTTAAAACTGATATTAAACACTTGGGAATTTGAATGAATGAATGGAATTCTGTTAATTCATCCATAGATGAAAATAAAGCTATTTAGTAATACCCTGAGGGCGAAACAAATTATTTAAAATCATTTCTTGCAGATACTGAAGTCAAATTTGTATTTGAGAATAGTAATACATTCAAAGTTTTATTTAGAATTGAATATTAAGAAAAAATATGGAGTACTTTTCATTGTTAAAGGAGAATATATAATAAATATTCACATTACGAGCTCATAATTTCATCTCCATAAGAACAGTTGGAGCAAATAATTCATCATGAGAAGATCCTCCAATCAGTTAACAAGCTAATTATTTTTAATTAGTCTTCTATCATTTCTTATATTTATTATTTCATCAGGAGCAGGAGCACTGGGAACAGTGGGATGAGAATCCAGTGGTCATTGTCCCTGACAAACCGGTCAATCCTATCCAGAGTAAAATCGACCAGTACAGGCAACAGATAGCCAAACCTCCTGAACCACTCGAGGAACCGCAGATCAATTTTTTTGAGGTTTTCATCAATTTCTTTATGCCTTCAGTTATTATTAAAAATACAATTTAATTGATAACATAAATTTAATAATTAATCAACTGTTTTATTTTAATTTAGTTAAATTTTTGGTTCATTGCATCTCTTTTGCATTAGCCAATAGTAAAAATATGTAAAAAAATCACTGCATACTGACATTTTAGACAATATTCATTCATGTTTTCATAATTGACATTCTGAGATATCTATTTTGACACGAAGTTTTTCTGCTTTGTCTTCACGAATTGGTTATCAAATAATGACGATCGTTTTACAGGACATGACACCAAGAATAACGAAACAGAAGAAAGTCCTCATTAAAACTAAATCAGAGGAGTCCGGAGCCAATCTCTCCAAGTTTGCGATTGCAGCTGAGAGAATTCCAACGGTAAAATCACATTCAGTAAAATTCCTGTTTATTTTCCTCAATGAAAATCCTTCAGAAATGATAATTGGGAGAAATAATCTGTTCGCATCTAATTGTGACAATCTTTTTCCTCATTCAGAATAATCTCGAGGTGTGGGACGATAACGCAGCGACGTGGGAGGACGAGACTGCGGAAGAATTCGGAGATACAACTGAGGAACTCAGGAGACAGAAACGTCGAGAGCGTGAGAAAAAATTGTACGAGCAGCAGCAGAGGCGCATGGAGTACAACTTCAGACCACCACCGCTGGGGGAAAAAATAGTCTCCTGATCCTGACCATCAGTCCCCAATGGACGCGAATGGGGCAAAATGGACACTTTTGAATTTTTTTGAATTCTATCGTGAAGCACTTTTTTTGAATTTTTTTGAACCTCAATAAGTCATTGAGTGTGAGATGAAATGGAATAATTTTTTTTCTATGAAAAGCATGCTTCTCCCTCTTTGTGATGAGACTCAATTGATAAATTTATTCTTGAGTTATGAACATGGAAAAAAATGGGTCCATTTTGCCCCAGCCTCCCGTAAGTCTTTCCAATTTCATGTTGAATATATGGGGGAGACACTGTTGACAATTTTCTGCCTGAATTTTCCAATTGAAGCGATGGTTTTGTGAATATTGACAGCTTCAGTGTGTAAAATTGACAGATTTTTCCTGTCATATCATACAATTGAAAGAAGACTTCTTGTTTCTGAAGAATTCAGCAGAAATATTCTTTAATAATCTGTTAATTCATGGAAGCTTTGATTTTTAAGGATCTTTTATGGGAAATTTCATGTGAAATTCTCTCAGTGTGAGGACAGACCAGCGTGCACATGAATAAGCAATATTCCGATGAACAATTAGGCCCTCGGACTGTTTTGAAGGAACAACTTTGCACGAAATAAAATACTCTTAAATTGAGAATATTCCCTTTTTTATTTTCTCAATTCAAGTATATTTTATTTTTAAATGGCGAATATTTATGCTTGAATCAACAGTATTCTTCAAGGATGTTGATATTTTCCACTAAAATTCTTCATTTTATTTTTTTCTGTGAGTCTGTAATTTCTTTTCGTGCAATAATTCATGTATTTTCTCATGAAAAGCTCCAGGCATCCTTCGATGCCTGAAAAACCATCAAAATCATTCGCAGTCTGCTACACAAATCATGTTCCTCTCCCAATGGACGCGCATTTAAAATCACCCGATTAGTCTCAAGGATTTTCCTCGTGATTTTTTGAGTGCTGTATGACTAACTCGTGATAATCGCACCCTGAAAGTCGTTAAATGCATTCCACTTTGATGATTTCATCATTGGACTTGTTTCCTTCCTTTATCATCGAATATTGTATTGATTTTTCGTTATCTAGTATGATTGTGTTATGACTATAAATATCAAAAGTGTTTTCAATGAAATCCGACTTTATTAATAACCAAAAATTTATTATACATAAAATGCAAATTTCCTTCATTTCCCCTCTCCAAACTAGCAATGAATACAGAGCTAAGTGAAATAAAAATGGAATCGTAACATTTTCGAGTTTTTATTTGGAGTTGAATATTAGAAAAAATTGTGAGGCAATTGTCATTGCATTAAAATTGACAATTTCGCAAGCGATAGATCCTAAATCAGTAGCGAAGCGGTAAAATGGTTTATAGATTCATAGAACGGTATTCAATTTTCTTTTATTTGTTAGGCAGGCTTCATGAAAATCAACGCAAGACGATTGTACTCATGAAAACCGCCTTACTTTCTCCATTATATCTCCATATAGATATCTATAATCATAGTTACGGCTACAATAATACCTACGAATAGTTAAATTATAGCCGAATAGATCGGCTATAATAGAAAACGTTTCATGGATTTTTTTTAAAGCGAAAGGGCTAGTCCTCAGCTTCACATTCCAACAATGATTTTCAAATACAACCTTCCCGCCATTTACTAATGCGCCTGCCCCCCGGAGTGGGGGGTGCACCCAAAAACGCGCGCCAGACAAAGCATCACATTGCATCACATTTCGCTCTAAACAAGATGGCTGACATGGAGCAACGTAGTAAAGAGAGTTCGGTTGCGGGTCAAAAAGAAACAATGGTGAAACAGGAAAAAAGGGATAATGCGTTCACGAACGGTAGCAAAGGGTCGGGGGACGATGCTGACAGTGTCGAGGAGATGCCACTGGACATTGGGGAGCATTACCTGGTGCGAAGATCCGACGACTCCTGGCGTAAGTTCATTTCGATTATTATCGGGCACGCGACTGCGAATAGTCACTCGTCATGGCGATGACGCGATCGGGTGTCTTCGGCGTGCTCTGGATTCCGTTTGAATTCGTCATGTGTGGAGGGTACAGTCTGCATGGCGCAAGTGGAGAAAACAGAATTTCCCAAAGAATTCACTGGTCGGAATAATTAGGCATTTGTTTTCAGTTTTGTTTTTGCTTCGTTTTTTTTTTTAATCTTACAACATTGCTAATAAATTAGGAATAGGGGAGGTTGGGGTAAAACGGACACTTTTGACTTTTCTTAAAATGTTAATGAGGGGTTGAAATGTTGATAAAATTTGATAATTTTTTTTTTCAATACAAAGAACAATTCTTCCCCTTTGTGACGAGTTTAAACTGAGCTCAATTGATCAATTTGTTTCTGAGTTATGAATAATTTTGAAAAAGTCCAGTGTCCGTTTTATCCCACCCGCCCCTATGCTTTCGAATGGGTAGTTTGCACGTAATTTGGTTCTATCATGTATAATTCATTGGTTATTTCATTTTATTAAGTTGAATGAGATTTCTTTTCAAATAATTTTGTCAGATCTTCAACTTAGTTGAGTGTTATCATCATCATTATTCTTATTATCCCTTTCTTCTATACAAACGATTGTTTTTTTTACGGCTCTGTTAATAGAAAAATTTTATTACACATACTTGAATGAATTTGAAACATCACATTTGAAGAAACCATCGGAAAGCTCAGTTTCAGGGAAATTCATGGAAAATTCGAAATTTTCAACAATCATCATAAAAATCAAATCAACCAATATAGCTATCGTAACCATCTTTTAAGTTCGACTTAATGGCAGTAAAACACACATTTTAAGCATGATATTCAAATATATTCCCGGAATTCTGATTTTCAAAAAATACAAAATTTTTGCAAATTTTCAAATAAATCAAAATAACGATTATTGCTATCGCCTTCATCTTCGAACTCGGTCAAAAGGACGTCCAAACAAATTTTTTAAGCCATCATTCAATCAATTCAGAAAATTTTTTTAGTTGTCGTGGGATAGCCGACTTTCGAAAAAATTCAAAAATTAAAAAACTAATCGATGAATTAAACTTTAATTAATGGCGACCGATAGGGCTCAACAATATCTACATTTGAGGAGGAAGAAGATTCAATTCCATCGATTCATTAGCGAACGATTGCAAAGCTTTCATTCAGATGCAAAAATACTTAATCTCCCATTCAATTTCCTCCAGATCCAGCCGAAATAATCCAGACTCGATTCAACGATGGCGAAGGACATTACGAGTATTACGTTCACTACGAAGGCTACAACAGAAGACTGGACGAGTGGGTGCCGAGGGACAGAATCATGTCAAGTAGGTTCGACATGTCGGACACCAGTTGGAAGACCAGTGAGAACGCCCCAGCTGGTGATCTCCTAGCCGATTCGTCGGACAGAAAAATCACGAGAAATCAGAAGAGAAGGCACGACGAGATCAACCACATTCAGAAGGTACCAAGCCTCACTCATTGATTTTCACCTGACTTTCTCATCAACACAAAATAATTTTTTCACTCCAGACTTATGCAGAGATGGATCCAACGACTGCTGCCCTGGAGAAAGAGCACGAAGCCATAACTAAAGTCAAATACATCGACAAAATTCAAATTGGTACGTGGGGAAATATTCTCTTGTAGACAGTAGTTAAAGGTAGATAAAAGGGGCTCACTATTTCAAAAGTTTATCTGCAGGGCGGTATGAAATCGACACGTGGTACTTCAGCCCTTACCCTGAGGAGTACGGAAAACAACCGAAATTGTGGATTTGTGAATATTGCCTCAAGTATATGAGACTGGAGAAGACTTATCGATATCACATGGTAGGAAGTCATTTTTATATTTCTATAATAACTTCTATTTTATAATGACTTGTGGCAAGTGATTTTCTCGTTGAATTCATCATTCAAATTTATTTCGTTTAGATAATTGATAATTTTGTTCTATTCTATCATTCATCATTTCAATTTTTTTTCTATTATTTTATTTCATGTTTCGACTCTCAAAAATTACTACAAAAATACTCGATCATGTCGATTTAATATTAATAATTTAACATCCAACAAAACATTGAAAATTAGATGTTTAATTGCTTTACCATTTTATTATGCACTTAGAGATTGCTTTATAAATTATATTTTTTTGCAGAGTGAATGTACTCACAGACAACCGGTAGGAAAAGAAATATACAGAAAAGGTACACTAAGTATTTGGGAAGTGGATGGAAGAGAGCACAAGATTTACTGTCAAAATTTGTGCCTCCTTGCTAAACTGTTTCTAGACCACAAGACCCTTTACTTCGATGTGGAGCCATTTCTATTTTACATTCTGTGTGAAGTCGATAAGCATGGAGCACATCTTGTTGGATACTTCTCAAAAGTGAGCAAAAATTCCTGGGAATTATTAGATGTGATAATTATTTTCAAAGGATATTTTAATGAAAAAGCTGTTGTTCTCGAATAAAAAGTGAATTTGATTTTGATCAACAGCTTTTTATTGTATTTCCTGGCAACAGACAGATTTTGTGATGGAAAAATCGAATATCTTTGGAGAGATCCAATCTAAGAATCCTTGAAAATTAATTAACACACCTAATAATTAAGTTTGGAAGGGGCGAATGGCGAAATTTGTATTTATTTTGATCTTTCAGGAAAAGGAGTCTCCAGATGGCAATAACGTTGCGTGCATCCTGACGCTGCCACCCTTCCAACGACAGGGGTATGGGAAATTACTCATTGCTTTTAGTTATGAATTGAGTAGGATCGAACAGGCAGTGGGGAGTCCGGAGAAGCCACTCAGTGATCTGGGGAAACTCTCGTACAGGAGCTATTGGAGCTGGATTCTTCTGGAGATTTTGAGGGATTTCAGGGGCACACTCAGCATCAAAGACTTGAGGTGTGTAAAAATATCGGGGTATACTAGAGAATAGAATGAAAATTGTAGAGTGAGGAATTAAAGAATAGGGATTTCGGTGGTGATTCAAGAGTAAAATGTTTTTGTTCGAGAATTTTAGAGTGAAATTTTAGAAATTTTCAGTGCAGACTTTAGAATATAAAAAAGGTTCATGAATAGATTTCATTGCATAATCATGCTGAATTCTTCAGGAAACACATAAGACTCTCTGCGACTGGGTTACTGTATAAATGAATTATTTATTGAATGAATCAAGAATATTTATCCTCAAGTTACTACAGTTGTCAGTGAATATCTCGGAATCTAAGGCAGATAGCAACATTTTCGTCATAATCTTTTTTGTAGCTCTCAAATCGCCCTACAAAAAAGGTTATCATAAAAATTTCTCTATCTCGTCTAGATTCTAAGATATTCCTAAAAAACTCAGTTGAAGACTGAGTCGACTAGAATCGTGTTACTAATTGCATTTCCTCCTCAACGTTCACCTGAAAAATCGTTAAAAAATCAAATCTCGTTTCAGCCAAATGACGTCCATCTCCCAAACCGACATAATCTCGACCCTCCAAAGTATGAACATGGTGAAATACTGGAAGGGACAGCACGTGATCTGCGTCACCCCAAAACTAGTTGAAGAGCACATAAAAAGCAGTCAGTACAAGAGACCCCGTCTCGCAGTGGACAGCACAGCTCTCCGGTGGGGTGCACCACCCCGTAAGAACGTCAAACCCGGAAAAAAGTGCTGAAAACTCCCGAGGAAAGCCCCAGGAAGTCAAAGTAAACTCCCAAACACGAGCCAGACTAATTACGATTAATCCAGAGCCTCGATAATATTATCGTTTCCAGCTTGATGTAATCGTGCTAGTTCTCCCCTGCGTCGAGAAAGGAAAAACCCAGATATTCGTGGTTTATGACAAATCGCCAGTGTGAAAATGAAACCCTAGAGGGACTTATGGAGTGCAACCAGAGCTGAATAAAATCCCAAGTGAATTAAAGAATAATTAAAATGAGTTTGATTGGAAGATTCGTGAATATTCGTCATTCCGGGTACATCAGACCTGACAAATAATATGTTATTTGGAATACTTTGATCCAGACGAATGCAGGGAATGCCTTGAAATATTTTCATTTCATAACGAGTGGAGAATTGATTGATGAAGGCAAGAATGGCAGAATATCATAACCATTTTCAAGACTTAATAAATTAAATAAGTATCGCATGAGAGAAATTGTTGGTAATTCAGATGAAAAAAAATTCTTTGAGTAAAATATTAATTAAGGTGATTGGCAGAATGAGAGAATATAACAATATTCTGAACTTGACAAATTGAATGAAATAAAATGAAATACAATATCCCAGACACGAATCCGACTAATTATGATTAATCCAGAGTCTCGATGATATCGCTTTCAGCTTGACGTTATCATGCTGTATAATAGGAAAATATAACAATATTCTGAATTTGACAAGCGACATAAGGGATGAGAAGTGAAGTAAAATGTCCATTTCGTTTTTGAAATTAAGAGTGAATGATAATTATTCATTTTTCAAAAACTAAAATAGTTTTTTTCCTCAGTGATCATCTGGAGGACTATTCCTATTTACTTTTGATTAAATATTTCCAGCTCTTACTGTAACTCATGACTCTCTAAAAAATACAATTTTTCTCCAAATATTAGTCTTTCATTCATTTAAATCTACTTATTCATTCTTTGAATAAAGATGACAAAATGACGATTTTTAAAATTGCATAATTAGCTTGAAACATAAAATTCAAATATTTAAATTTCTCAAATATGTATCCACAGTCAATAAGAAAGATCCAAGTCCAAACATTTAAATTGCCCTCTCAAGAACCTCTTCGAGATCACCTAAAATACTATTCCTGTTTAATTTCTCCTAAAAATTCAATTTTCCTAAAAAAACTTTTTTCTCACGGTTACTTCATCGATTTTAGACGTGGATCATCCAATATCAGAAAAATTAGTTAATACCCTGATCCATACCTAAAATTAATTCAAATGTTACGTTGTATCCACAGCCAACAAGAAAGATCCCCTTCCAAAACCCCTCAAAATACCAAGAAACCCCTAAAAATTCTCTCCAAACCCAAACATTTCAATTCCTCCCTCGAAAACCTCCCTCTTCAACTAATCCCTCAAACCCCTCAACATGCCGCCCAATCCCTGAAGACTGACCCCCCGATAACTCCCTCGCCTGCAATCCCCTCATTAAATATCTCCATCAATCCCAATCCCCCAATTCTCGAAGAATGACAATCCCACCAGCTGGAGCAACAACACCCCCCGACAACAATCAAAAACCCCTCGACTCCGCCAGCGCCAAATGCCAGCCTTGGTCTTGTCCATGGGATATACCCAGCAAGAGGGATATCATGCCCACCGTAAATTACGAAAAAGAGTGTCAAGTCGGTGTAGGAATGTGGCACTTCAAAATGGCTGCCAGTTACTTTAGTAATTTACGGCCGTATCTTTCTTTGTTGTCGATCGTACAATTTACTATCCGATTAACACTCACTGGGCTAAATTAATTGACAAGTTTATTAGTTTATTGTGTGATTGACGTTTGATATTTGAACGTTAAATTCATCGTGAATACACGGGAAAACGTAATATGCTCGGTTAACTTATTTCAACACACACATACACACACGTACTGTTCCATACCACTGGGGCATCGGTTTTCAGTTTCTTATTTAAGTTGTGAATAAGCTGCACGTCTTATTTATTCGTATTTATTGGGATTGGGGGGCCAGGATTGGTGAGTTATTCGTTACCTGTGAGTGTTATCAGTGCCCGAGGGATGAGTGCTACCACGGGGATTTGTGAATTGTGCTGTACGTGGGATTAGGTTAAGTTCCCTGGACTGGGGATCGTCCTGGTTGTCTTGTGATGGATTTAACTGGATAACAACTGGTGCTGTCAAATTTTGTGAGTATTCGGGGGGTCCCTGGGGGTTCACTGGGGCTCAGGGGCGGGGGAGGCAATTGTCAATTTGTGTTGACAGAGATCATGAGCAAGATCTTTCGTCTTCGAGTTTTGGAGTAGAGGCAATTGTTGGGGGGATAGAGGGGTCATCGAGGCTCGAGGGATCCGGAAGAAAAATTTATGGGGAATAGCGAAATGGTGAGAAAATGGCAACACTTGAGGGAAGAAAAATCGCAGGTGTTCTGTGAGGAATAGTTTTTGGAGCTCTTTAGAGGCAGGGCTAAATAATAGATAATTAGGTGAACATTGAATGGGAATTTTATTCAGTGGCTTGAGATTATTGGAATTATCATGGGGAGAACGTTGTTTTGGGGGAGGATGTGGTATTTATCCACTTTTTGTTGTGGAAAAAATTAAATGGCCTTTCTACCCATTTTATTTCACTATTTTAGTGGGTGGGAAATGGTGAATTTTTAGTTTTGATGGATTCGTTGGGGTTTCTAGGGGTTCACTGGGACACAGAGGTCTGAAAATCAATTGTCAATTTCTGTTTACTAAGCTCAAGAACAATAACCTTGATCTTCAGGTCGTTGGGGTAGAGTTAATTCTTGGGATGATATTTAGACTGTTGGGTTTATTTCGTTTTGATAGGATCGAGGCTCGAAAAATTCGGGAGAAGAAATTTGTGTGATCGAAATATTGACGAAAAGGCCACATCTAAGGGGATAAAAATCACAAGTGATCTATAAGGAGCGGTTTTTGGATTTTGTTCGAGACAGGATTTGATTTTATTAGATAAAAAGTGAAGGGAAATTTCATCCAATGGGGTGTGATGATTGGAATTCTCACGGAGATGGATAAAATGAGAAGCTCGATTCTTCCTAATTTATTTCACTATTTTAGTGGCTGCGAAATGGGGAATTTTTATTTTTGATGGATTCATTGGGTTTTCTAGGGGTTTAATTGAGTACATGGGTTTGAAAATCAGTTGTTAATTTGTGTTTACAGAGCTCACGAATTAGATCATTCATCTTCAAGTCGTCGGGGTAGTCCATTGTTGGGGAAATATTTGGAGTGTTGACTTTATTTCGTTTTAATGGAGGAGGTCATCGTGGTTGCAAGGATTCGGGGGAGATATTGATGTGAAAGCACATCGAAATGTCGACGAAGAGTCCACATCTGCGGGAATAAGAATCACAAGTGTTCTGTAAGGAATAGTTGTTAGATTTTTTTTGAGGCAGGGTTGAATACTATTAGATGAACATTGAATGGGTTTGATGATTGGAATTATTTCTACTCTTTTTTTATTCATTTCATTTCGTTTTTTTTTATTTGGAATTGAGTATTCAATTTTTTAAAATGAAATTTCGTTTATTTTCACTGCAGAGGAAGATTTTTTTCTTACGAAATGTTCTTTACCAATAATTACAGAGGAAATTTATATTTTTTAAACAATTTAACATGAACATTCAATATTCCATAAAAAATATTCGTCTGTTCGTGTCTTATTCCTCAATGAAAACCTGAACAGTCCAAGAATTTTAAGGATTCGTCATCAGCAAATTCATACAGAAATTCATATAGAAACCATAATAAACAATTGGGCAAATCCATTTTTCATAAATGAGTATTATTATTCTTAATAAATTAGCAATTTGCTTCCGAATGAGTTCTCTTTTTCTAATTCTCATTTCACAATCTCCTCCTTTTATTTTCTCATGTCAATGGTGTCAATGCCAATTGATATTAATGAGTAGAGCTGATTAAAGTCGACATTGCTGAAAAAATTCATGAAATTCGATTGATTTCTTATACCAAAATTCAAATAAAAATGAAGAAAAATACCACATGCATACAAACATGCAGACATCGTCTAAAATTTAGTTACCCTACCACAAAAACTTAGAAACTTAAATTAGACCAATTATAAAGCTTCCATTCAGCATAAAAAACAATTCCATCCATAAATAAATTCCACATAAAAAATAATTTCCACTGGTCCCCTAAAAACGTCGCCTTATCCCCAATAACCCATCACTTCCCATTCACCTTAAAAAACCCCTCAATTCCAACTAAATCCAACGAAAAATGCGAATAGTATTCGACCCAGTCCTCCCACCCCCTCAAAAAAAAAAATTCACTCAACTCAAACTTCCAGGTAGATTAATGCTGCTGCTCAATTGGAGCTAGGTCCCAGAAGACCTAGCATGGGCCACTATGAATCCATCCGCTGTCAGCAAGTCAAGCACTCGCGGCTCTGGATATCATCAGAAGGCACTAGCTGAAATCCGAAATTCCCTGCTGCCCTTCGCCAACAGTGGTGGCACAGGAGAAGTTGGCTCCAGTGCAGCGAGTACAATATCAACCCTCTCAACAACCAGTGGTGTGAGTTCAGCCTCTGGCCTCAGTGGTTTATCAGGTGCCTCAGGCTCCCTAGTAGACAAACCCGAGCAGCGTCAAGCCCTCTCGCAGCTCCTGGCCATGGGTTACCCGGAGGAGATAGGCCTGCGCGCCCTGAAGATGGCAGGATGGCGCCTGGACGCAGCGATAGAGTTCCTGAAGCAAGCCCAGGGGGAGTCCCTCAACGGTCTGGGTAAACTCAACTCAAAACTCATAAGAAAACCCAGTTTAGAACGAGAACTGTCACTCCAGAGGGGCTCCCCAGCCCTCGACTCTGGGGCTGGGAGCTCTCGATCAGACAGCCCAAGACTCACTGAGCTCAGTCCCCACCCACAGCTGAGTCGCCAGTACTCCCCCAACAGTTTTGTGGAGCGTGAACCTCCACCACCACCTCCACCTCGTTGCTCATCGACTCCACCGCCCCCTCCGCCCCCTCATGCCCCCTACAGCCAGCCCAATGTCCCCTCGAACATGCAGCAGATGCTGAAGAGAATGTCACCAGCTCCGGTGGTGCCCAGCAGAGCACCTCCAACCACTTCAGCATCGACAACAACGTCTGGTAATGCACCCCAGAGAGGCACAAGCCCAGTGGCCACTGCCACCAGCACATCCAATGGCAGACAACCGATGATCGTTCAGAATGGGCCTCAGGTCCAGCAGCAGTTGTCACAGCAGATGCAGGCACTGAGCATTTATCAGTCCAGCAACAGCAGCTCGAGTGCTCAGGTGGAGCCCCCACCACCTTATCCCATTGTTCCATCGTCGTCGTCAGGGACTGTCCAGCCACCCTCGTACTCTGCGTCCATGCAGAATCGTCAGAGCCCAACGCAGTCGCAGCAGGATTACAGGAAGAGCCCCTCGTCGGGGATCTACTCGGGGCCCACGTCCGCTGGCTCACCCTCGCCCATTACTGTGTCCACTGGGCCTAGCAATACTCAGGGCTCCATGGCCAGGCCTACTCCCCTGCAAGCCTGGGGGGCTAGGCAAGCCAAGACTCAGCCTCCTATCATCATGCAGTCGGTCAAGAGCACGCAGGTCCAGAAACCTGTGCTGCAAACCGCCATTGCACCGACGTCACCTCAACCTATTTCAAGTAGTAGCACCCCACCACCACCACCTCCTTCGTATGCTTCGTCCATTCAGCAGAAGCAGCAGCAGTCACAACAATCGCAGGCGCAGCAGGGTCACCAGCAGCAGCAATCACAGCAGTCTCAGCCGCAGCCACAGCAGTCCCATCCCCAAGTCCAGCAGCCCCAGCAGTCCCCGCAGCCGCCACCGCCAGCGTACCCCCCAGTGAACAACAACACCAACAACCAGAGTCTCGGTGTGCCAGTCCCCACGACCGAGCCCCCAAGCTACGCCACAACGATGCAAGCACTCGCTGCCCAACGCAGCATGCACCACCCCCTGCCGCCACCGCCCTACGGCACCCCAACCGAGGACATCACCACGGAAGGTGCCAACGCCCCCAGGTCGTCCCCAGTCGCTCACCATCCCCCACTGCAGAGGAAGTACTCCCCAGTGGAGAGTTGTCAGCAGCACCCTGAGCAGTCCCCCCCACTGCCCCCAACAGCCTCGTCCTCAGTCGCCAACAGAAACCCCAGTAGTCATCCTCCCTCAGACAGTGGCGCCAAAGGACCCTACAAAATAAAACACCAGTCCCCCATTCCCGAGAGAAAGCACATGAGCAAGGAGAAGGAGGAGGAGAGACGAGACTGCAAAGTCAGGAATTATTCCCCTCAGGCATTCAAATTCTTCATGGAGCAGCACGTCGAGAATGTCCTCAAGTCCCACAAGCAGAGGCTCTACAGGCGACTCCAGCTGGAAACGGAAATGGCGAAAATTGGTCTCAGTGCTGAGGCGCAGTGCCAGATGAGGAAGATGCTGTCCCAGAAGGAGTCCAACTACATCAGGCTCAAGAGGGCGAAAATGGACAAGACAATGTTCACAAAGATCAAGGTGATCGGGGTCGGGGCCTTTGGGGAGGTGACACTCGTCCGAAAACTCGACACCAAGAACCAGTTTTACGCGATGAAGACCCTCAGGAAGGCCGATGTTCTCAACAGAAATCAAGTGGCACATGTCAAGGCTGAGAGGGACATTCTGGCTGAGGCTGATAATGAATGGGTTGTCAAGCTTTATTACTCGTTTCAGGATAAGGACAATCTTTATTTCGTCATGGATTATATTCCTGGGGGTGATCTTATGTCGTTGCTCATCAAGTTCATGATCTTTAATGAACCACTTGCCAGGTTTTACATCGCTGAACTCACTTGTGCTGTGGAGAGTGTTCATAAGATGGGATTTATTCATAGGGATATTAAACCTGATAATATTCTTATTGATCGGGATGGACATATCAAACTTACGGATTTTGGACTGTGCACGGGATTCAGGTGGACACATAATTCGAAGTATTATCAGCAGAATGGTGAGCCAATTTTTTCAATTTTTATTTTCATTCATTAGTTAATTTCTAGCGAAAAATTACTCAATATTCTTGTCTGGAATTAATTTATTCAAATGGACTTTGCCTTTTCATAATTTCATTTTAAATTTTTAATAAAAAAATGTCTATGTTTTTGTCTAGAATAAAAATTGATTTGTTCTTTCGTGTTTTGTGAATTAATTAGTTGATTAGACGATTTTACGATGATTTTCAGGCCACAATAAGCAGGATTCAATGGACCCGGCTGACGACTGGAACAACGAGTGTCGTTGCATCCAACTGAAACCCCTAGAGAGAAGACGGCACAGAGAGCACCAGAGGTGTCTCGCCCACTCCCTCGTTGGAACGCCGAATTACATTGCTCCTGAGGTCCTCCTGCGCACTGGGTACACCCAGCTGTGTGACTGGTGGAGTGTCGGGGTGATTCTCTACGAAATGCTCGTAGGATCGCCTCCATTTTATGCCAATACACCGGCAGAGACTCAGTACAAGGTGAAATACTATTAAGAAAATTTTTTATTTCAACTATTTCTCTTCTTTTTTTTTTCAATTCTAGACATTTTGCAATGATTTGCGATGATTTCATCTTTTCAATCGTTAAAAGACATTTTCAGAGTCGAGAATTAATGAAAATTAATGAATTAATGATATTTACAGTCTTTTTTCATAAAGTTTAATTAAAAAATTCACTAATTGGAAATTTAAACATTTGGGCGACTCAGGCCTCATTTTAAAGCTCTAAAAAATACCTTGAAATTAAAAAAAAAAGAAAATTCCACTCTGTCGTTCTTAAATTATTGAAGATTAAAGACGAACTCGATTTTCCATTCTCAATCATTCGATTTAATTAGGTTAATTCATCGTTTTTTTGATTTAACACTCAGGTCATCAATTGGGAGACGACTCTCCACATCCCGAAGCAAGCGAACCTCTCTCCAGACAGCATGGACCTGATCCTGAAGTTGTGCACGAATGCCGACAGGCGATTGGGAAAAAACGCTGACGAAGTGAAGAACCATCCCTTCTTCGGTAGCATAGACTTCGACAAGGGTCTGCGTCGACAAGTTGCCCCTTACATACCCCGCATCCAGGACCCCACAGACACCAGCAATTTCGACCCAGTGGATCCTGACAAATTGAGAAATTCCGAGGCCTCTGACTCCGACAAATCCGGTGAATTGCTCGACAATGGAAAGCCCTTTCACGGTTTCTTTGAATTCACATTCAGGCGATTTTTCGATGACGGGGGAGGCCCGGCATATCCTAGTCGAATTAGTCTTGACGATAATGACAATCAGGGACCGGTCTATGTATGACATTAGGCCATGTCCGGGCAAGGCCCAACTACGAGCTCATAGCTATGACCGCTTTCACTCTCTCGTATTTTCCATTCTTTCTAGATTCTTTTCTGTCGTGCATCTTATTTAATTTCGTGCGTTTTTGGGAAGAAAAGTCAGTTTTGAGGGCGATGGTTTTACGGTAATGCCAGTGGTTTCTAGGAGTTTGAGAGGGCAGTTTGTGTGGGGATATGATTCTTTTTTTGATTTTTTAGACAGTCATTTGGGGGCAGGTGCACTGGTGGAAAGCTATTCCTGAAATTTCAAGGATAGAGTTTTGAAGCTTTCAATAATGAATGTTTACATGAAATTTAGGGATTTTGGATAGTGATAAATTAATTACTGGAAGTTCCAATGAAATTGAAGTTTCCAGGTACATAGGAGCAATTCTATTGAATTTGAAATGTGAATAACAAATTACATGAGCTTTTGAATCGTAAATTTAATTCAAATTCCTTGAATTTCAGGGGAATTCTGACAGTTCGGACGTTTTTTGAAAAAAAAAAAAGATGGAAATTTTGGCTAGGGGGGACATTGTGATAATTGTGAGTTTGAGAGTTCAGTTAATGCGCAGATATCAATCTTTTTTGGATTTTTTTATTTAGTTATTTGTGGAGCAGTTGTGCTGTTGAAAAGTTATTTCTGAAATTTCAAGGAAAAAATTTGAAAATGTTCAATTGTGAATTTTTGAATAAAATTTGGGGACGTGCTGGTAGGGATGAATCAGTTAATTACTGAAAGTTGCAATGAAATTGCAATTTTCAGGTGCATGGGACAATGAAAATGACTGACAATTGTGGAAAATCTATTTTTTTTAATTTTCCACATGAATAACGAATTACATGAACCTTTAAGTCATAAATTCAGTTCAAATTCACGGCATTGAAAATGCAAATTCAATTATAACTTGAATTTCAAGAGAACTCTGACAGTGTGAATCTACCACAAAAATATAATCTCCAAAATTCTTCGTTTCAATTACAAAAAATGTGAATATTCCACTCACAAAATTCACAAACCTCGAGCAATCCCCCCGAAAGAAATCCCCCCACACGATGAATATGGGAACGAGAAAATAGAAGAAGTACTGTGATATTGCCAATAATTAGAATAATGTGGCTTACGAAAGAAGAAAAAGAAACTCCCGGTTCGTTATTTGAATCATATCATTACCTCCAGCATCAAACGACGAAACACCAACTCGTTGACTAATCGATTTATTCCCGAATCTATCGACTAGTCACCAGAAGACAAAAATCTCTCTCACAACTGTATTGTTACTATTTTTCGAGTGAATGTAATGTGTTCAGTAATGGGATGTTTTCCCCCTGAAACACGAAGAAGCGTCACTTTCACGAGGAATACTCCCTTCAATAGTCTAAGTGTCATTTACCAATTTATCATGTATACATTCGCTGCCTCTCCCCCCCCCCTATCTCTCACCCAACTACTTATCCTAGAATTAAGTATTCTGTCCCCTAGGGCGTGCCAAGGCTGCAATCAGATGAAAACACGATAGAAAAAAAATATATATATTAAATAAATTATTTGTCATTAGGTAGAATGGAAAAAAGTACTAGTGCTTTGCGAAAAAAAATTGGAGTTCGTTTGGCAACGAGATAATATAAATTATACATAATTTCTCCTCGATGTGTACAAATGTGAGATTCAATTAGGAAATTACGAATTGATAGTGTTGCCTTTTATCGAAGTGCCTTCAACTTTTTAAAAGTCTTTGAGGGGCCTTAAATATTCATTTGATATTTTGCCTGAGAAAAAAAATTTATTTAACCGAGGTAATTATCGAAGACTAATTGCAATGTATGTACTATGTACAGAGTTTATGATCCATAGGTGATGTCTGAGTGTGAATGAAGTGTATATTAAACGCTTGGAATATACCGGTGCGTGAGGGGGTGATGAAAATTGTGCCTTAACAATGATTATTCTCTTTCTTTCGTATTTTTTGTTCGTCTCCTCACGCAATGCGATACGAATAACCGAGGAATCGAGTCTCACGAGTCAGCAAAAAATGTCAGTTAATGCTCATTATTTTTCATGCGATTTTTTTAATGTAAATTTTTACGAGATTCACCGAATCAAGTCGATGGAGTGGTTATCCCCCCCTTTTTTATCTTCTATTTAATTGCTTTAAGATGATTATCGATATCTTCATCATTATTATGGCTTATGGTTATCATTATTAGTAATATTATTATTTTGTTTTATTTTTCATTGATCAATGCGTACCAAAGGACTCTGCAATGATCGAATGTGCATTTTTATTTTGGTGTTGAGGGGCATAAAGGATGAAGAACAAAGTTAAGGAGTAGGTGCGTTGGCAGTGTTTAATTCGAGGGAATGTTTTTTTTTACTGCAATTTATTGTGGAGGAATCATTGAAACTTTTGTTTATCTAGTCCAGAAAAAAAATAATGGAACAAATATATTGGGTGGGTTTAGGGTCGAGAGTCGGGTAAATTGTGAGGAGTAAATTATTAATGGGGGAGTGAAGCAATCCGTATACCTTCAACACCTGAATTAAGATAACAGAAATGGTAATTTCATCAGTTTCACAGCTCAGTTTATCGTGTGACATCAGCAAACTGTTCAACATAATCATTTTTTTTTTCATAGACACTACAAGAGAAGTAAACTCTGTTTAAAGGAAATAACTGTTGACGAGAAGGGAAAGCCTCATTGTAACGAAGGCAGATCTGTTTAGTTTTATGTTTCCTCCCTCGTATTCCCCCCTCCCCCTTTCTTTTTAAGAGAAACACTTGTAAATTTTATATTTAATTTTAATACCCTTCATCCCGTACCAGTTTTATGTTATTTTATCTTGGGCCTCGATTTATTTTTCCCATGAGTTGAAATTTATTCCCCCCCCCCCCCATTTGTAATTATGTTTGCAAAATACAGAATCATCATGATAATGGTTAGTTTTTATTTAAGGTATAATATATTATGGAAACAAAACTTATGTACATATATTCGAGTGTGTGTTCTAAATTAAAAATATTCTTTAATGCTTATGTGGAGTTTTATTCATTGAGTGGGAGAGTGTTAGGTAAAATTGAAATTTTGGGGAGTTTAGGAGGGAATTGAATTTTAATTGAGGGGGAAATTTGAAAAATGGAAAATTTCACTGACGATTTCTAGGAAGTGAATATTTTTGAAATGCAGACGAAATTTCCGCAAATTACTTGCATTTTCAATAAAAAATTTAATATTCTGGACTGACTTTTCTGTTAATCAAAAATTTAAGAATAGATTTACCTGAAATTTCTTAATTTTTATAGTTTTTATTAATTTTATCAACAAATTGTGAAATTTCAATGACAAGACACCTTGAAATTTTAGAGGTACTGTCACTTTATAAAAATTTTCGAAAAGTGGAAAATTCAGTAGAAAATTTATAACAAAAAAAAATGAAAAAATTCATGGAATTTCGAATTTCACTAATAATTCAATGAAATTCAAATTTTTTATGCAACAGAAACCCGAAAATCCCCGAATCTACTTGAATTTAAAATAAAAACACTAAAAATTCAAGAAACTGAAAATGACTAACTAAAAATTCTTCATATAAATTTCCTCAATTTCTATTAATTCAAAAATTCCCCAGTGTGTCACAGTTTTCTCAGTTTCCCATTCAAAATTCCTGGAATCTACGGAAATGGGCGGGAACTTGCGAATTTCTCGCCCCATTCTCTTCCCTAAAATATGACAATGCTTGAAGACTCAGACAGAGGCCCACCAACTCGCCCCTCACATCAATTGTTAATCAATTTGCACAATTGAAAAATAAAAATGATTATAAATTTTCCCTGATAAGAGGGACTTGTCGCAGCTGATGAGAATCAAGCTTTATCAGGTTTTCCCCCACCCAGAGCCCACCCGTTCGATATATTTACATATACGAATGCATAACAATCAGCATTTACCAAAGAACAATCGGAATACCCTCAGAATCTCCAGAATTTCGACCCCAACTCCACTGAATCCTCAATTACTCAACATAAAATAGCGAAAATGAATCGAATAATGAAAGCTCTGTCGAGTAAAGAGACTCGAGAATATTTCCTGAGGTAAGACAATTCACACGATTCAATTCAATTAATTATTTCAATTAAGTCCCAGGGCTTTTTAAATTATTCGTTTCTGTTTTTTTAAGCACACACTTCTGGGGCCCAGTGGCAAATTGGGGAATCCCCATAGCAGCTATTGCTGATATCAATCGAGACCCCAATTTTATCAGTGGGAAGATGACTGTTGGTTAGTTCAATCAGATGTTCAACGTCTTGTAATTCGACTTAATTAATTCTCCTATTTAATGAATTCTTTTCTTTCAGCACTTTGTTTATACTCTGCCATGTTCATGCGGTTCTCCCTGAGAGTTCAGCCCAGGAATCTTCTCCTCTTCGCCTGCCATTTCACCAATGAGGGGGCACAGCTGACGCAGCTGTACAGATTTATCAATTATCATTACTTGGGGGGGAAGAAGGACGAGGAGAAAGAGTGATGAGATGGGGGATTCGGTTATCTGGCAATTGCCACTGTCATGCACCACCTCGATGCACTTCTGGGCATCGAATGTTTCAAAGTTAGACGGTTTTGTAAATATATACAAATGTTCAATATTTATTTTGTATTTATTTTGTTTTGAATTACTGATTTGACATCACTTTTGAAAGTTTTTTAATGGAATTTCCAGTAGACTTCTAGGAAATTTTCATTGGAAGAAAAGAGTTCCACTGAAATTTCAAGGATTTTTTTTGTGGAAATTCACATTTTCAGGGAAAATTTGGGTAAAAATATTTTTAACTTTTCAATGTTGATGATTTGATTGGAAATTCGGGTCAGCCGGGGTATTATCGTCTTTTTAGAATTCCATAGAATTTGCAGTGAAATTCGAGGTTTTCTGATTTCCCCCCCTAAAGAATGAGAAAAGAGCGAATTCTGGTTTTAGGGCCTGACGGGGGTAGAGTTATTTTTTATCGATTGAATTTTAAAAATTACAACTTTAATGCACCACCTCGATGCACTTCTGTGCATCGAATGTTTCAAAGTTGGATGTTTTTGTAAATATATAAAAATGTTTAATATTTATTTTGTTTTGGGATTGCCAATAAACTTCTTGGAAATTTTTATTGACAGAAAAGATAGTTCCACTGAACTTTCAAGAATTTTCTTCATTGGAAATTCACAATTTCAGGGAAAAATCAGTGAAAACTGTCTATTTTAATTCAATCTCTCCAAGAAAATTAATACAAGTCAAGAAACTTCAGGTAAAAATATTTTTGAATTTTCGATATTGATGATTTCATCGGAAATTCAGGTCTGTCAGGGTATTATCGTCTTCCTGGAATTCCACAGACTTTCTCCATGAAATTCAAATTTTTAAAAGAAGTGACTTCCAAGAGTTTTTTGGGCCTGAGAAGGCTACAATTATTATTTTCCATTGCGTCTTGAGAACATTGAACTGAAAATTCAATTTCAATTCCAAACTGATTGAACAGTTGAAAATAAAATTTCTTAAATTATAATTTTTTCAGTTAGAAAAAAAATGTCATCTCAATAATAGTCATGTAACATTAATATTTCCATAAACTCGTATTTAATGCTTTAAAAAATCCACCCCTTCGAATGGAACGAAGACGCTTCCTCTCACCTTTAAAAGAAAAAAAAAAATGAATATCATTAGTAGCTGAACTAGTCGATCCAGTTTCCGCGAATTCCCCTCAACTTTTCAAAATTCTAAACCAATGTTTTTCATAATTTTGGCGTACACCTTCCTATTTCTGACGATTTACATCTTACTAATAGTATCTCTACTCTATCTGGAGTATTTTCTCGAAAATTGGAACCCCGTTCCACTTCCGTACCTCTGAAGAAAAATCCGTTTCGAAGAAATGGCATTTGAACCGCCGCCATTGCGATAGCAACGTACCATTTTTGTTTTTCAAACAAGACGTTCACTTGTCAGTTGTGGGGAAGACCGGAACGCTTTTGGGTTGAAATTTCTACAATTTGGCTTTTAAAAGTTATCAATGAAAAACGAATAAACCTGCCTGGCTCAAAAATTCATGTTTCTCGGGATGGATTTGAAGGATCCGGAGGTGATGCAGATCATACTGAGGGGTGAGTCAATATTTTCAAATAATATGTAGAGGTCAGTGGGGCAGAATGAACATTTTTGCGTTTTTAACGGTAATGATTCATTGAACTGCTAATTAAATCAGGTAATTATTTTCTCCATGGAAAATAAAATTGTTCTACTTTGTGGTGAACCTTGAGTTAATAAATACATTAATAAATTCAATTGATGAATTTGTCTTTGAGTTATGAACATGGAAAAAATTTTGAAGTGTCGATTTGCCCCATCATCTCGTCCAGAAAAATAAAAATGTTTTCATTATTAAAATCTGGAAGTTTGCAGATTAAATTCTGTAAAAATTCAAGAGTACATGCAGATTATAGAGGTCGGTTGAAGGGCGGGGGGTAAAACGGACAATTAATTTTGTTTATGTTAAAATCTTATTCAATTGTTGTTAAAATGGAGCAATTTTTTTTTTGAGAATGCACTCATTTCTCTTTGCGATGAGCTCAGACTACGCTCAATTGATCAATTTAGTCCTGAGTTGCGAAAGCAACAAAAAATTAAAAACGATTTTGGTTCAAAATGTTTATTCGAACGTCTCACCATAAAAATAAAAATTATTGTTTTATGAACACGTGAATTTGTATAAAGTGAATACAGTTCATGAGATGTTTTGAGTAATTAAAAATCCTCTCAAGTTTAAGAGTCGATGGGGATCCTAGGGGACGAGGGGCAAAACGGATACTTTAGAATTTTTTTCAAATGCTGAAATCTTCTTCATCTTCTTGATGAAATGGAGTAATTTTTTTTAGAGAACACACTCATTTCTCTTTGTAATGAGCTCAGACTGGGCTCAATTGATCAATTTATTCCTGAGTCATGAACGCTAAAAAAATTAAAAATTGTTTTTGTTCAAAATGTTTATTCAAACGGCTCCCCATAAAAATACAAATAGTTCCATTACTTTTGTTCACGCTAAAATAATGCATCGATGTTATAAAAACTGTTTTATGAACACATGACGAAGAATGCGTGAATTTGTATAAAGTTAACACAGTATCATGAGATTCTTTGGGTGACGAAAAATCCTCCCAACTGTCAAAAGGCACTCATCTATGGACGGAATATCGACGCGTATTTCGCAGTTAAATCCGAGTATTAAAACCTAAACTATTCTAAACTTGCACGATAAAATTCTGTAAAAACTTACGATAAAATCAATCATTCTCTGATTTAAAAAAATAGCTTCTGGACGGATTAATGACTCACTGAAGACATTCATAACATAAATATAAACTAGTTAATCAACGATCTATCTGCGATAGAAATGGTAGAAAAATACTAGAACCGATATGATTAGGACGAGGCTGGAGCCGACCGAGGCAGCACCAGCTATGCGACATTTGAACATGTCGTATCTAGTCTCTTTGTCGTTTACAATATTCACGAATTCACTCTCCACTAGCTGGCCGTCGTAATAAGTTATCAGATCCTCAAATGGATACTCGAAGCCTTGTTTGCATTCGCATTTGTAGCCGCCTGTTTCGAAACCTCTTCCTTGGAGTGGAACGCACTGAAAATACAAATTTATTGATTTTTATTATGGCTACATCGTGAGTCATTAATTACAGACTTCATTTGATCAAAGGTTAAATAATTTTGCGATGATTTCATCATTCAAGTTCCATTTTTAACTAAAATTGAGTCTGAAGAAAATTAGAAAGTCTAATTTTTCAGGAAAATTTAGAAAATAATTAAAAATCTGTTATTTTGCTAGAAAATTTTCTCGAAATCGAAGGAAATTTATTCATTCACAATTTCTGTAAACATCAATTTCATGTCAAAAAAAGCTTCAACAATTTGCATTATTCATTTTCAAATTTTGTTTAACACTTTTAACTATTAAAAAATAAAGTCTTGTATTCTAGGAAAATTCATGAAACAATTAAAGACCTTTCAAAACCATAACGAAATCTTTATATCCACAATTTCATAAATCTTTTTATTAATATTCAATAATCAAATATTTAAAAAAATTGAATGAATGAGAACTAACAGTTCACTTTGTTCTCACTTTCTGGCAAAATTTCAATGGAATGGAATCAAAAAATTTAATTTCACCCTTCGAAGCGATTCCGCATGCCCATTTTCAATGAAGACAAGAAATAAACTGAACAAAACTCACATATGATGTTTTTCGGTCGCATTTGTGGGTGCCCTTGAACGCATTTGGCACCCAAAATTGCTGGTCGCACTGGTTGATGTCCAGCTGAAGCAAGTTCATGGTAACAGCAACGACACCCCTGTAAAGTGTTCTCAATGTTAAACACCATCCCTACTAAAATTTTTTTATTACGTTGTTCCATCCTCCCTGAGACTGGTTCTCATCCCCAACTATCTCACACTCAATTTACCCCCCACATGAGAATAATTTCTCCCAACACAGTGGAAAAATACCCCACACAAGTGAAGAATAAGAAGGGAGGTTGAAGTGAAATAGTGTAGCTATACTCACTTGAATTCCAGTTTAGCCTTGATGCTGTCCCAGCCGAAAAATGGGGATGCATAGGTAATTACCCATTTATTCACTTTGCCGTTACAATCGAAATAAGGAGTTGTCCAGTGGCCGTGCTTCAGGTTTGCCGCCCTAGAGAACATCAGAGACATACCCATATTAAAATAAATTACGACTGAGAAAGAAATTCTCCACCCCTTCTCACTAAAACTATCTGCTTTCTTCATGGTTCAAGCCATCCCAGTTCCTCGCAAACTATCTCTTCCCTCAAACCATAATCCCTTTATGTCAATATGGGCACTAATACCCGTGGACAACTCTGGGGGGAAAGAAGTAACATTTCTGTTGTTTTTGGTTCTTCTTTTATCGTTCACTCAGGCAAAATTTTTATCTCAATTCAATTAATGGTGAGGATGTGATTATTGAGATTTCCATACTCATTCCATACTCATTCTTGCATAATTCTATATTCTTTGAGGTGAATACAAATTAAAACTTGTATTGTAATCCAAAATTTTATAGGGAATATGAGCAATCAAGGATTATAGACAATTCAAATAGATATTTTTTAGAGAAAATCAGGAAATTGTGGAAGAATTCTAAGAAAATTACGATTGCAATTTAATTAATGATGAGGATTTTTTTAATTCAAGCGATTATTGAGGCCCCACACTCATGAATCCTTAGATTCTATTTTCTGTGGGGTGAAAAACAATTGAAAATATTATTATAATCCAAAATTTGACAAGAAATAGTGGAGTTAATCGATAATTATATAGAATTCACATCGATTTTGTTCAGAAGATTTTTAGCAAATTTTGGAAGAACTCTAAGAACCCTATTTTAATTCAGTTCATGATAAGAGTTTTTAACTATCTGTTTTCTTCATACTTAACTATCAATTATAAATATCAATGTTCTTCCGTTTTTTATCGTTCTCTCACCTGTAGAAATTCGGGAAGTGCTCGTATTTCATGCTATGCTGGCCAGTCTCGTTATAACGAATGTGAATTTTCATGAAGTATTTCTCTAATTCGTCGAAGTTTGCTGCCCACCTCTGCTGGAGAACCTTGAACCAGGGCTGATTCGTGTAAACTTCCTCTGTAAAAATAATTTTGATTACAAAACGTTCTTTACGAGAAATTAAATCAATTACATTTGATGCAGCTTAATTAAAATCTCAGTGGAACTATAATTTCAGCTAATAATTTTTGCCAATATATCTGCACTACAATTGTACAATTTTTCATGATATAATTTGTTGTAATTCATTATAATTTCTAAAACTGTTTTTTAAACATCAATCTTTAATTTTTAAAAATTGATTCATTTTACTTTTTATTCAATTTAATTTCAATTTAATTAATGCTGTCAAGTAATTATTGATTTTTTTAGTAAAAATCAATCTTCAATTAAAAAATTGATCCATTTTCATTTAAAAAATTGAATATTTTCCTCTTGTGAAATTACCTGTACTATTCAGACGCGCCAAATCCTCAACTTTAAATTTCCTCGAGTTCAATTGAGTTTTGTAAGCGTAAGGAGCAAAGAAAGTTCTGTTCGTGAATTTATTGCGATCCCAGTAAGTCCCAGCAGACCATATTTTCGTGTCTCCCATTAGAAGTGCCAGGGTCTCTCCGATCATCTGATCCTCCGTGAGGGGTTTGTCCGCCACTCTTGTGCCTGAATAAACTTCCTGGGGATCTGATATCTGCAAAAAGGCACTTATGAAGTTGGCCAGACGCATGGCCATCCTAGCTTCATTCTCGAAGAACTCTTGGGCACCAAAACCAATGTCTCCGTGGAGATTCAACTGCTGTTTTGTGTATTGGCCACAGGTCTTCTCGTTTACACTCAGGATGAATCTCAGTGCTTGATCGATATTCAATTTCTCTCGTTGGAGGGCATCAGGCCCTGACGAAGAGTTTCTGTACTCGTAGTAGTGCTCCAGGTATTTTTCCTTCATGTGCGGTGGGGCCTTCTCCCATTGCACTGGCATTTTGTGAATCCCTGGGGATGGGAGAGTTATTTTGAGCTGTGTACTTTACATATTCCAGTTGGAATATTCCAAAATACATAATTTTGTGGGATTTCTTTGGAAATTAAGATTTCGATTCAATTAATGATGAGGATTTTGGGAAATTATGAAGATTCAAGTGATTAATGAGACTTCCACTCTCAATAAATCTTAAAAAAATATTTTTTGTTCATTTCAAATGGAGTTAAAAAATCATATGATAATTCAATTACATTCTGCCTAAAATTTCACAGAAAATATTCAACAATTCATGATTATGTGGATTTTAAATGAATTTTGTGCTGAGAAAATGAGTCAATTTGATAAAAACTCGAAAAAAATTCTCATTTTAATTCAATTGCTGACGTAAATTCTTGAAAATTGTGAAGATTCAATTGGTTAATGAGACTTGCACTGCTCACTAAACCCTGAAAAATCCAATTTGTTTATCAAATCCAATTAATTTTATTTGTTTATTTATCCCATTAAAAAATCGCAATCACAATACATTTATTTTTTCCTCAAATTTTACCGAAAAAATTCAACAAATAATAATTATGTGGATTTTAAATGCATTTTGTTCTCAAAAAATAAATGAATTTAAAAATTCCACAGAAATTCGCATTTCAATTCGATTAATGAGAGTTCTTGGAAGCTATTGCTACGCAATTGATTATTACGAGTGCTACACTTATTAAACCTTCAAAAAATCTGTTTTCATCCATCCTGAGTCCAATCAAAAATCATCTCACAATCTAATGTCAATAAGTGTTCCAAATGCAACTCACATCCTATTCTCGTGCAGTCAAAGCCATTGTAGTACTCCTCTGCCGGCGCCCTCTCGACAATTTCCCCCAGATATGGTCTTCTCACGACCGAAGGAAGTCTGTAGCCAGGTTTGCATCTGCACTGATAGCCACCTCGTCGATACCCCCAGCCATGCAGAGGTTCACACTAAAAAAATTATGGATGACCCCAAAATTTTCTCAAAAAAAAATTCCTGAAGGAGAGAAGATCAAGAGACATTTCAAAGAATATTTCTTGACACTTTTCTTCCAACATAACCACATTACCAACTGAACGAAATTCTCAATTCAATATATAATAAAACGGGAAGAACAAATATTCAACACATCAGTAAAATACGCCCTACGATAATGCATAAATTTCACTAGAATCACCTCAGTTGTATCTGTTTTACACCTTGCAGTCCCGGCAAACCTATTGGGTCCATTATTTCCCTTTCCCTTGGGACACTGATTAATATCAATCCTCTCGAAATCCATCTCCATGACAGTAGCAGCAGTATACCTGCGTCAAATAAGATAATTCAGTTTTCAAAATCAAGTTTTCTCGAGAACAAGATCCCAAATCTCTTTGATTCCTGTGGTTTCACATTCAAAACGCTCTTCTAAACACGTTGGCCCTCACCCTCGTGCCTCGAATAAGACATTCCCGGGAACTAACAGCAAAAGAAAGCCATTCTAAAATGAAGATCGATGCTCTATCGTCATTGAAATCTTAATCCCATGAGAGATCGTCTAATTTAATGCGGTAACTTCAAAAAATAAATTATTAAATGGAAGTCAAATAGATTTTGTCCAGGAAAATTGATCACTTTGGGAGAATTATAAAGAAATTCTAATGTTAATTAAAATTTCACAGGAAATATTCAACAAAATACATGCATTAAATAAAATAATTCATCCTCCAGAATCAAGTTTTCTCGAGAACAAGATCCCAAATCTCTTTGATTCCTGTGGTTTCACATTCAAAACGCTCTTCTAAACACGTTGGCCCTCACCCTCGTGCCTCGAATAAGACATTCCCGGGAACTAACAGCAAAAGAAAGCCATTCTAAAATGAAGATCGATGCTCTATCGTCATTGAAATCTTAATCCCATGAGAGATCGTCTAATTTAATGTGGTAACTTCCAAAAATAAATTATTAAATGGAAATCAAATAGATTTTGTCCAGGAAAATTGATCACTTTGGGAGAATTATAAAGAAATTCTAATGTTAATTAAAATTTCACAGGAAATATTCAACAAAATACATGCATTAAATAAAATAATTCATCCTCCAGAATCAAGTTCTCTCGAGAACAAGATCCCAAATCTCTTTGATTCCTGTGGTTTCATATTTAAAATGCTTTTCTAAACACGTTGGCCCTCACCCTCGTAGCTCGAGTAAGACAGTCTCGTGAAATAATAGCAAAAGAAAGCTACCCCCATGGAAAAATATATAAAAAATATAAATAATACAGGCCAATTTAGTGTATTCTTCGAATAGATATAATATCTATATACAAAATATATGAAACATGTATAAATTTATATTTTATGTAGCTTTTATATATAAATCAGGCCAATCTCATATATAATAAAATATATAATTTTCAGAATATCTATTTTTTCGCATGGGTATTCTAAGATGAAGATGGATCCTCCATCGTCATTAAAATCTTAATTCCATAAAAGATAGTTTAATCCATTTAAAGAAACCGTCAAATTTAATGTGGTAACTTTAAAAAATAGATGATGAAATAGGATTCAAGTAGATTTGTCCAGGAAAATTGGTCAATTTTGGAAGAATTATACGGAAATTTTAATGCTAATTAAAATTACCAAATAAAAAAGTTGAAATTTCATAGGGAATATTCAACAAGTTTTCTCAGCAACAAGATCAGAAATCTTTTTGATTCCTGTGGTTTCACATTCAGAATGCTCTTCTAAACACGTTGGCCCTCACCCTCGTACCTCGAGTAAGACATTCCCGAGAAATAATAGCTAAAGAAAGCCACTCTAAAATGAAGATCGATGCTCTATCGTCATTGAAATCTTAATCCCATGAGAGATCGTTTAATCCCCATGGCCGCATTATTCGCACTGTCGGCATTACCTCCACCTCTTTATGTTTTTTACTCCCAAGAATTCACGTGCAACCACACAACCCGGTTTTACCAGGACCCCCCAGAACCCTGAATATGATTATGAGGGCGATCGATAAGGGGAGCAGCATCTGGGCAACTTGTTTATTCGACTTGAAAAATTATTTTTATCCGAAAAATTGGATTTTTACTCACCTCGGGTACTCAATGTGACGGAAACCAGTGTGACGAGGGTAGATATCAGCTATGGGCACCACTGCAGCCACCAGCCAACGGTTCGAACGGCCACAATCGAAGTAGGGGGTTGTCCATTTTATCGGCCCTGGGTCCTCGTCAGCTCCTGGTGAGGGAGAAAAATCAAGGCATTGTTGCGTACATTTTTTTAAATATATTTTTTTCAACTTATGGGACACGAATTATTCACCTCGTGGTCCGTGGAAGGTGAACGTCTCGTTCGTGTTGTTCGCGTAACGAATTTCTATATCGTACGTCGTCTTTGTGTCATGACGACGGTCGGGATTGTCCGGCAACCATGCGTTGTACCTGAGAATTCAAACCCAAAGAATAAAAAAATAAACCAAATGAGTAAAAAAAACTGCATTAACACCAAGCACATCTCCAAAAAATCCAATTTATCTAGAAAACGAGTGGTTTTTCAAAAAAATGCCAGAGAACCTTTTCTGCAGCTTCCAAAATTTCCAACAAAAAATATCTTCTGACATTTCCCCCTAAATCCCTCCCCTACAGAGCAAATCGTGCCCTTAAAAATGACCTAAACTCCACCCCTGCTTTATCCTAAAAAAACCGAATGAAAAAAGCTTGAAAATAAAAAATTACCATTTATTAATCCTGTAACTGTCAGAAGTATAATCACGGCTGGGGCTGTGCGCGGGGAAGGCCCCCAGATCCCTCACGATGAAGGTGTTCCTAGTGGAAATTCTCTCCAAATGGACTGGATCATTGAAGTCATCAGACCTGAATGTTCTCGGTGCAAATCTCAGTAAAGTCTTGTTAAAAAACCCTCGATAACTCGGCGTGTAGGACATATTCGGTGAGAAGTACGTGGCAGAGGCGTTGATGTAGAGATTGGCTGATACATCAGCCACAGAGGACAGAAAATAGTACATCATTCCAGGATCATAAGTGTCGTTGATGGCTGGTCTTATGAACCTCGACTGGAGTATGTAACTCCAGAAGAAGGACCTGCTCAGGGCCATGTTCTGGAGGTGAAGCAGAGCTGTTCTGTTCGGAAAGACAGGGTTTATGTTGATGTCTTTGACGTCAGGGAGGTGCGACACTGTGTCCTCGGGGAGGAACAGATCCCCCAGGTGCTGGATCTCACAGTTGTCACCTGTCACCTTATCCATTCGCAATTTTACTTCGTCGAAGGCATCTTTCGTCTGCCACTCGTACTGTCCGACAACGCCCAGCCACAGGCAGGCTGTCACCAGGAGTGCTGTCACTCCGAAACGCGGCATTTTAACCCTCTTCGATGACACGCGAGGCTTTTACGGTTTTTAATGCAAAGGGGGGTTTTTTATGTTTTTTTTTTGCGGGGGTTAGGCACACATTATTCGGGATTTTGGGAGCACTGGGGGGCTGGCACACCCGCGACTCCAAACACTTGTTACGAGCGTCGGTTGCACTCGTCAGAACGTGGAGTCACCGAATAAACACGCCCTAACTATAGTTATGGTATTGAATGGTATAGGACGTTTGCACTAACTCGGGGAGACTCGTCACTAATTTTTTGGGTTTTTCAATGGTGTTTAGTCCCAAACGGCGATGGAAAACGTTTATTAATTAATTAATTATGATTAATTTGATGTAATTAATAAAGTGAAAATAATAGAACAAAATAGAAAATAGAAGAGATTGATTTTTCTATATGTTAATTAATTATAATTATAATTATAATTAATTATATAACATTGATTATAATTAATTAATTGTATATCATTGATATTAATTAATTTTTTCGTTTCTTTTTTTTCATTTGTGTATTATTTTTAACGAGACAAGAATTAATAATCAGATGTTATACTCAATTTGAATATTTAATTTTTGTTCTTAATGTTTATTCGGAAGTAGAAATGGAAAATTTAATTAATTAATCAATTTTATTATTTGATCGATTGATTTTTAAACAGTATAATGAACATTTTTTTGTTTTATTCAGTCATTTTCCATTATTTTCAGCGGATTAAAGATAAATGATCAGTTTTCATATGACATTTTTGTTAAATTGAATTTTAAATAACGTTTTTTATTATTTTAATTCCTTTCATGCAATAGGCAATATAAAATCGTTGAGCCCTAGCTTTTTTTTATTAAATTTATTAACCTGTTATTTTTAGTTGACTGAGAATGCTAGAGGACGTTTGTACTAACTCGGGAAAGAATGCCTCACGACTCTTAATTTTTGAAATTTTGAATTGATCAATTTGATAAATTAATTAATTTTTAAAAAACTAAAGTTTTTTTTGCTTTATTCAATCATTTTTCATTATTTTTAACGAGAAAATTAATGTGAGTCACATGACTCTTGATTTTTTATTTTCGTATTGATCTTTATTCCGAAGCAATAATAATTAGATTTTATGTTAAATTGTTTTTAAAAAGAATTTTGCAAATCACATCACTCTCAACTTAAAAAATTCATATTAATGTTTATTGCAAAATAGTAATAAAAAATGAAATTCACCAATTTCATCCCGTGATTTTAAACAAAAATGAATTTTTTTTTCGTTCTACCATTAATTTTTTTATTTTCACCAAGATAAAAATTAATAATTACATATATTTGTTCCTAAACATAATTTACATAACGTTTTTCATTATTTTAATTCCTTTCATGCAACAGGCAATATAAAATCGTCGAAGAAAATTTTTTTAACGGAATTTTTCAAATTGTTATCTCTACTTGAGTGAATTATGGGATTGGATTGTGCGGGATAATGACACGATGAATCAATCGCTCGGGCTGCCCCACCCCAGACATTATTTCATTCATGACTCATTCACTGATGACTCGTAATGCTCGTAATAATTGTGGAGCGTATTCTTCTCGTATTTTCGGGAAGTAAAGGTTAGAATTTCGCTTTCGAGGAAATAGAATGAGGGAAGCGCGTCTGGAGTAGTCGATCGATTCTCAGTCTCACTCTCAGAATGCACAAATGTGCACTCTCGGATGGCAGCTGGCCTCTTACCCTAACCTGACCCCACACTCGATCACGTGACAATTTATCGGGTACAACAGACTCTTTGAATTTATTCCCCTCTGCTGGCTTCATTTCATCTCGGTATATGCGGGAAAATAAATATATAAAAATTTTGGTTTTTCAACAGCGAATGAAATTTCAATAAAAATCCATTACAATTAAAAACAAATTAGTTAATTGTTTGACAAATTATGAAAAATTTTGATGGAAATTAATCTGAATTTGTTATTATTCATTGATTTTAAACAAAAATAATTTAAATTGTTAAATTAATTTTTTCAAATGAAGAGTAAAACCTCAAACTCAGATTTGAGTTGTTCAATGAAATTATTTATATTAAACAATAGAGAAATACTCATTTAAATGAAAATAAATGTGAATCTATTCTTATTCATCGATTTTAACCCAGATATTTTTTAATGAAAAAATACGAAAATTAGAGTGAAAAAAAATTGAGATGACAATTTTATTCCCTCAAAAAAACAATTTAAATTGACGAAAAACAAGAATCGAATAATTAAATTAAATTCTTGAAATGCAGAATAAAATTTCAAGCTCTTAAAATCCAGTTGATGCATAAAATTTTTTATAAAAAAATTTCAGAATTTTTTATCCAAATGAACCTAAATGAGAATTTTTCAATTAAATAAAAAAATACGAAAATTTGAAAAAAAAAAAATGAAACGCGCATTTTATTTACCCAAAAAAACAATTAAAAATGAAAAAACCATCATTACATTCGCCCATCTCCCGTAATCAATATTTATCAAGAATTAAGACACTGGAAAGCAAAAAATTTCAGCGAAAAATCACGTAAACCCATAATCGCCCATTAAAGCCTCGATTTTCCCTGGCCCCCCACCTGTGTACCCACATGCGTGTTCATAGAAACCGCAGCGCCTCCAGCCCAGCGCAAAAAGGGCTCTGAAGCCCGCGAAAGAAGCGAGGGATGACGCCCCAACTCCGGATGTTCCCAGAGAGCCTCGAAAACAAAAACCAAAAAAAAAATCCCCCACCGCGAAGAAAAAAACCCCCCGAAAGACGAGGACAACGAAGCGCCCGAGGAGCGAAGAAGGGATGCGAGAAATCCGAAAAGACGAGGAAAAGAGTCCGCGGTGACTTAATACGGGAGGACATAACATTTAGGCGATCATTGTGATGCTTATGAGGATATAGCGCCCCAGTCCAACGACCCCCTGTGAAGAAGCCCTTCAGTACCCCTTCTGTACCGAGCAAAACCTCACGTTTTTACACTTTTTTTGTCTCTAGTCCATGTGTACATACAACCACCAATGCCCCCTCCCCTTATGCCTCGACCCCTCGACCTTTCTCACCCCGTGTACATCAGGTTCATCCATGGGCAGCTAGAGATGCAAAGTGACGGTAATTTTTTATGTGCGTCGAGTCAGCCGTAAATTTACCGTTCTCTGACCATTTCTGACTTGAGGGGTAACAGAAGGCCACGGAATAGTATATTTCGTAACGAGTGCAAAAAAGTGTTTTTTTGGCGAGTGGGAGGTTTATGTCACGAGCCGAAGGCGAGGGATATAATCCCACGAGCTAAAAAACATTTTTTCACGAGTTACGAACAATATTTTTCATCACAATGTGGCGGAAATTGCGTGCCTAAAAGTCCACTTTTCGTCACAGCGTGATGAAAAGAATTTTTTTAGAAAAATTCTAGTGCTAACACGGGAAAAGATGCGCAAAGTGACGGCCGGGAAAAAATTCCAGTGCCGGCACTAGAAATTTTATTGGAGAAAACGTGATTTTTTCACCGTATTTCTGTGAAAATTACACAGAAATCCCCAGAAATTTTACCAGAAATATCAAGAAATTTTACCTTAAGGGGGAACGGAACCCCTGCGTTTATATGAATCTTTAAAATTGTGTTTTCTCCTGCAATTATGATTTCTTATTCATTAAACTACTTTATTGACTCAACAATACGATAATCGAGTCGATAAAGTAATTTCATAGATAGAAATTAATAATTGTAGGAGAAAACACAATTCTAAAATTTGATGTAGACAAAGGGGTTCCGTCTCCCCTTAACAAGACTAAAATTTTTCGCAGCCGATGGATTGCGATTTTTTCCAGTACTCGTACTAGAATTTTTCGAGAAAATTTCTCTCAGTGTTTTCCCTGAAATTTTCAAACAAATTTCCTGCGCAAAGTTATTAACAGTTTTGCCATCCAAGCACATTGATCTTCATCATCGCCTCCTGGGGATTAATGTGCTTTGATTTGTAAAAATATCGGTAACCTTCGGCAGGAAAATTTGTTCAAAAATTTGGAAAAAGGCATTCTGTTCTCCTTAAGGGGAGACGACTATGAGTTTTAAATGTCGCGGGCTATTGAAATGAGATTTCTCATACATTGAAGATCGATTATATCTGTCTAAAACCGAATAATTAGTGCGAAAAACTCATTGTGTATTGTTCGTTTACCGCGCAAACGCTTAAAGTGTTAAAAATGGTCCAGCGCCTCCAATTTTTGAGCCACAGTGGTTTTTTTTGCAAAATTTTTGCAACAATTTGTGCCACCACAATTACGAATTATTTTTTTGAAATTCAACTCCTACAAAAAATTGCACCATTCATGTAAAATAGCCCGAAAAATATTTCTGAAAGAATCGAGAATATATTTTTAATATTTTAAGAATAATTTTTCTGCCTATTGTACGTGACTGGCGCAATTTTTTATATTAAAAAAAAAAGAAATTGGTTGTGTAGGAGTTGAATTTCAATAAACTAATTCGTAATTGTTATTGCACAAACTGTTGCAAAAAAAACCACTGTGGCTCAAAAAAATGGAGGCCCTGGATTATTTTCAACATTGGTCTTCGGTCAATGACGTGTAATTTACGTGTAATATTGTATACAATATTGGCCTTCGGTCAGTGACGTGTAATTTCCGTGTAAAATGACGGTAAATTGACCGGTCAGCTTTGTCCGTTACATCGCTGTGAGCATCACAGGACGCCCCCTTGGACTCTCCTGTTTACCAGTGGCTAGTACTAGAAGACTGGACGAAGAGGAAGATGAAAGAGGATGGGGCATTTTTCTCATAGTAAACGGGTTGTCATCCCTTTGGGCGGGGTGGCGATGGATGGGGGGAGGGGGGGAGGGGGGAAGGGGGTGAGGGAAATATGAAACGAGAGGACGAGTCGCTGGGGGTCTTGTCCAGTTTCCCTAATGCCCCCTGGTTTATTCCGCACTCGTTTTATCTTAGTTTTTTTTTTCGCTCCTGAGAAAAGTCTCTGGGCATTGTTGAACGAATGCTCTTGTCTCCACGGACACTCATCCCCCCGAGTTCATGGGGGATATTTACGTGGGAAACAAGTGCAGATGGAGGTAAATTCGAAACGGGAAGGTGGAGGACATTAAGATATTATGCTTGTGCATTTGGTCAAGTATAATCGGATGATTTCTCGGGGT